GAATGGGAAGCAACGTCATGACTGGTGTCTAAAGTTTATGTTTATTTTCAGATTTTATTGCGATAACTAATCAACCAGCGTAGCTAGGAATGTAATATTTGCCCTGGAAGTAGATCGTAACACGCCTACAGATGTTGTATGAAACTTCTTGCTTGTGTGTGAAAAATTACAAACAAGCGGCCTATGCCAAAGTTTGAGAACTTCCAGATTATAGGAATCTATTCCATGCTGGGGATCCAGGATAACTCTGACGGTATATTGATGGGTTACTTGCTTGGCAACTGAGGAATCGGGGTTCGATTCTCGCCATGGGCAAATTTTTTTTTCACTTCTCCACTACGGCGGCCAGACCGACTGTGGGACCCGCTCAGCCTTTACTCGAGTGCGATATTTCCCCGGATGTGAAGCGACCGGGAAGAAGCTGACCAATTGTTCATCTAGTGTCGAGGTTAAGAAGAGAGGAGCTATAATTTCACTTCCCCTGATGTCTTCATGGTGTGGTGTCCCATTGTTGATGGGACGTTGGGGACTATAGTGCTCTGCCTGCTGCTGGTTTCCGCAGCTCCTTGTGACCAATATCAGCCAGCCTAATGCGCCTGTTTGTTATTACATGGCTGCTATTGCCGGTCACTACCACTGTTCTGATGAAGAGAATATGTGGAAATACACTCCAGGTGGAAGTGAAACACGTCAATGGATATGTAGATGGGGGTCTGTCAGTGGGACATATTTCTACGGCCTCTGTAGTTGAATTTATGCATTGAACTACACAACTATTATTATTATTATTATTATTATTATTATTGGAGAGGGTGGGTTTCCCCATGCACCGCGACCAGTGGTGTATTGTACGTAAAGTTGGCACTAACTTCACCGGCAAGCGGCGGTCGCTCGGTCGGTAGAGATCGCTTGCGGACTAAAACCACGGGGTTTGCTTTTTGTTTTTGTTTATGATTACTGAATTNAGGTAATGTTCTTATAATTTTGGCTCAGAGGCCTCCTTGAGGCATGAGGTTCTTTTACGTGCCGTAAAGCTACGCCACGGGACCCACGGCTGAAGTCCCTCCCAGAGGACTTGTTCCCTGAATTTTTCCGCCCTTAAAAATTCCACGACCTCCGCCGGGTTTGAACCCGCGTACCTTCAGTCATGAGGTGGGAACGTTACCCCAAGACTACGGAGGCCGCTTAACTACACAACTAAGTGATAAAGTTATTAATTTATAACTACTCTTTGACTGTACATGAATTTGAACGTTTGGATGAAAGACATCATAAATTTTTTCCTGAACTTGTTTTTCTACTTGGCTGTGAAACTTTTTATCACAGGCTATTGAAATACGTAGCACTCTTCGTCCTTTGAAGAAGAATTTCGCCTCTTACACATGGCATTAGTAATATAGGATGGTTAGTCCGTTTCCACCAATTCTTACACCCATTTTCATAACTGTCTGAAAAATACTGTTTATTTCATGTTATTCTCTGTAGCTTGGGATTTTGACTCACGAACACTGTCTCTGCAAGATGTGTTCTTTCCAGGCTGTGAAATTTTGCTGTTCATAATAGTGATAATATTACTTGATACAGTGCGTGCATTATGTGTATGTGTTGCAGTCATGAGGGTGCACAATGTGGTGGAGTTCTTCACATTTTTTATTGTGGCGGCATGTGCCCATCCACATTCACCACAGCAGCCGCTGAATGCCTCGAAACAGGAACCAGGTACAGTGGAATCATATTTAGTTGAGCATCAATTGAAAGTCGTATAGGTATATACATATTTGTCTCATTATTACATGTTGTGGACATCAAGTAATAAGAACGTTCATATGAATATTTACCCTGAGGGCCTTCCTTAAAAGCTGCAGCTGTTGTAATTTCAAATTCCATAGTCGTAAATTAAACCCCAAATTTAACGGGTTGTTTGTAACTAGAAAACAAACAAAAGAGCTATGAATAACCTCTCTAGTTTTACTTTATAGAAAGAGGTGCTCGGAATGGCTCCCATGTCCGCGGACACACAACTCAGCTTTGCGTGAAAAATAAATTGGCAAGAGTTCGAATTTTCCGGATGTATTATGTCTTTGAATTTCACATATTTGAATTCGATGACACATTTTCTCTGTAGTATCGACTGTACTGGCATAGACATTGATTTTCACATATCCCACAGAAAGAACCAGATGAGTGTTTGGGGCAGTCCAGCATATAGGATAAATTTCGGACAGCCGTTGACGCACCTCACGACTGTGTGTGGTGGAGCACCATCGTGATGATGCATGTGAAGACACGTATTGAAGGACACATAGTGCGGAAAGCAGAAAAGTAAGATAATCATGGCCACTAACCTATTGCGGTAAAATTCGTGAGCCTATGAGCCGTCAAATGGATTTCTACAATCACCACGTGACACAAAAAACGCTGTCGGAAGTTGTTTTTTATAACGTGGCACAGAAGCAGACAATTGTATCTTTTGAAGGAAGGCCTTTGGGATACATTAACTTCTTTCTTTTACTTATTTTGATGTCCAGAAACCATCTTGTAAAATATGGCTAGTAATAAACGAGGTAGTCTGTATGGTGGGTATATCACCTGTGCAGTGCTTGTGTACCAAATTATAAATTTCTATATTGTAATTTTCTGATGTAAATAGAAATGTGTACAGAATTTTGGTGGAGAAGCTTGTTTGAAAGTAGCCATGTGGGACTCTTAATATTGAACGCATGCTGGGGAAATAGGTTTTGAGGATATTATCAGGATTGAATGGACATAAGATTTTGTCTACTGGTGATGAAGGTGAGCTTTCATATTCTTTCAGCAGAGAATGTAATTGAGTGAGTGAGGACTGAGTGACTAAGTTGATAATTTGGATGGGTGCATGGCTAGTTGACTAGTTGATCAGGCACTCAGCTAGTTATTGGGAAGAGTCAATAAATAGGTCACAAATGGACATGAAACGTAGAACATGTGATATTCAAAAGAGGATAAATCATTTATTTCTCGACGTATCGTCCATGAACATTGATACACTTGTCCCATCACTTTACCGGTGCATTGAAACCCACAGCATAGAAATCTTTTGACTGTTGTCTCAACCACTTCCGCACCTGTTTCAACCACTTCATCATCAGTGGAACAGTTGCAACCAGAGTGTTCCTTTAGCGGACCAAACAGATGGAAGTCACCAGGGGCAAAGTCTGGGCTGTAAGGCAGATGTTCAAGAAGTTCCCCCAGTAGTTCTTGAATTACTTCCTGGGTTGCTCATGCTTTATGGGGGTCTGGCATTATACTGCCAGTTGGCCTTGATACTTTCAATTAATTGCATCCAGAAGCTTCAACAGAACTTCACCGTGTGATGCAGAATTCACATTTTCACCATGCTTCTGAAAATGGGCACCCATTATGCATTATGCTCTATGCTAAACCATGAGAATATCCTGATGCAGTTGCTACACTGTCTACCATTATCCTCCTGTCAGCTTGAATCAACTCTTCCACTTCCTGCACAGTTTCTTCTTTTGCTATCTCAACAGGGCAACCTGATCAGGCATCATCTGCTACTTTCTAATGTCCTTCAGAGAATTTCTTGACCAAGTTGTGAACCGCTTTATGGGAAAAACACTTCCCACCGTAAACAGAAAATATTTCTTTAGGTACTATAACCTTTAAATTGTGTTGTTTTGTTCACAAAGAGCACACAACAGAACTCTGCTCTTCGGTAGTTTACACCTAAAGTGTGGTCGCTATTTTGACTACTGAAACCAGCCTCTGAACATGCACATCGCGTCTGCTACATAATCTGTCATTAAGTTGGACTGTGCTATCTAGTGATACACATAAAACCTATTCCATCTATTATAGCTGTACTTCCATTTGTGTTCCATTTACTGACTCTCTCTCGTAGTTACGTAGTCAGTTGGACAGGTAGCTATGTAGGTATATGATGGGCTGGTTAGTTTAGTCAAATGGCTGGTTAGCTGGATGGGTAGTTATAACTGAGACTGTGTTTGCCTGTGTGTAACTTGGTTTTGTTAGTAAGGTAGAGAGAGCTGACAGAATAGGTGGTGTTGTGTCTTACCACTGAAACACTAATAGAAAATGACACCTATTCCACATTCTTGGATCATATTTGTTACTGCTACCACTGGATATTTTGATTAATGGAAACTGCCCACGTGCACATCATCTAGCGGTTCACTTCTGAAATATAACAGGTGGTCCATATTTTTACCTTCAGACTGAGCTAGAGCTAGCTTATACATGCTTTGGTTTCTGCATATTGAATTAATCAGTGGACAGAGTTCAAGGAACGTATTCTCATGCCTGTCCTTATTTCATAATTAACAATCATCCAACCAGCCATTCTTCTTATTCTGTCAGCAAAGTTCTGGGAATTGAAGTACTGAAATTAGTTAAAGTTGAATATCTACAGCTAAGTGCAGTTTTCACTAAGCCTGTTCTACCCTTCCATACCATGAATGAGAATCTTACTTTGAAATACTGACATGTCAGCTTTAATATTTATGATGCAGACAGGGCCAGTGATTTTGAAAAAATGGCAAAGAACAAGTTTGAAGTACCGTATTTACGCATGTATAGGCCGCACATTTTTTGCCAAAAATTCAAGAGGAAAACTGGGGTGCTGCTTATATTCGAAATATTCGAAATCACACTTCATTTAAAAAAAATTATATTCATAATTAGTAATACAGGGTGTAATACTCCTGAAATAATATTCCAAGAAAATTATTTTTTCTATAATTTCTGTCTAAAAATTGTGCTGCGGCCTATACACGCACGCGGCCTATACATGCGTAAATACGGTATTTTGTGTTACAATTTTTACTTTATTGCTTGTTGACTAAAATGTAACAGTGCTGTGTTGAATGTAATTTTTCAGATCGATGTGAAGTTGCACCATTGTTGGGTCCATGCAAGATAAATACATATAAATGGTACTATAACAGTAGCCTGGGCCAGTGTTTTACCTTTGTGTATGGAGGCTGTAACATGTCTGATGCTGACAATAAATTTAGCTCAGAGCAGGAGTGTCTGCATTACTGTGGAGGTGCAGGCTGTAAGTATGAGGCATCTACCTGTAGGGTCAAATGAGTGGGATATGTAGCATGCATAGGGGAAATGAGAAAGAATGCAAAAAATGATTGGTAAACCTCAACAGAAGAAACTGCTTGGAAAATATAATTGTAGGTATTTTTTTTATTGCTAGTGGGGTGGCTCTAAGTCCCTTGTACTGCGGCCACTTCTGGCCTATTGTACCAGCCCCAGATGATAGGTGAGGGTGATTGTGGAGCAATTGGTGGAATGAAGATTGGCAGGGGAAACCGAAGTACTCAGAGAAAACCTGCCCCAGCGCCACTTTGTCCACCACAAATCCCACTTGACCAGACCCAAGATCAAACCCAGGCCGCCACAGTGGGAAGCCAGCTGCTTGAGCTTTGGCATGGCCATTAATTGTACGTAAATATCCCTTTTGTTGTGCATAAAATAAAATGTCATATGCCTCGTGTAATATATTGTGACAGGATATTGAAAATCCATAAAACTTGGGAGTATTTGAGCTGCAGAAATATTGCAGAGTTATCTGTTCTCTAGGCTACAGAAATATAAATTTCCCCTGCTAACCACAGCATTTGAGGTACAGTGGAACCTCGCTTAACGAGCATAAGTTGTTCCAGAATCTTACTTGTAATGCTAAACACTCATTAAGCGAAACAATTTTTTCCGTATAAATTAATGTAAAATACGATATTGCCTTCCATGCCGAAAGAAATAGTAAAAACATTTTATGTATAACGTTTATTCAAAGAAAATTATATATACATTGTTAAGGAGCATGAATCATCTTTATCTTTTCTTCTATGTGGAATGAACCAACCTGGAATGCGAATTCGATTTGCAGGAAACAAAAAAAAAAATCGAAATAATTAGTTTATTATTTATGATACGTATCTAATTCTCTTTTACTAGAAAGCTGTCTAGAGACATTTGTTTTTGCCGACGCTTCAAAATTTGGTGAAAATGCGACACAGCATTATCATTAAATAAATTTGTAGCGTGCATAGCCACTGCCTTATTAGGGTGATGCTTCTCAATGTACGATGCAACAGTTTCCCATGCTTTCAGTATTTCTCTTATTGTGCCAGAAGATTGTTACTTTGCTGTTACCTCCTCCTCCTCCTCTTCCTCCTCCTCCTCCTCTGAGAAACTCTCGTCCACAACTTCTTGCTGTGAAACACAATGCAACTCCAAATCATGCAAATCATTGCTGTAGACCGATTGTATGTGTATGTGTATGCTAGATCAGCCACGCTCACACCTCGTTCTCGCTTTTCAATGATTTTACGTTTCATTTCTACAGTTATTTTTATTCTCCTATGGCTGTCTTTTTGCGGCCTTTTCTTCGGGGACATTTTTGCAAGGGTTATTAAACTTTGCACAAAAAGAATCACAAATAATATGTCTGAACACAAGTTTGGAAAAATGTGTGATCACAAGCGACACTAAGATGCTAGCGGAACGAGTGCTAAATACAGACTGATGTAGCAAGCGCACAATCCGGGACTTCCCTTCTCGTCACTCGTTATGCGAAATGTCGATTGTTAAGCGAGTCATTTTTTTTTTACAATTTGTTTTGCTCGTTATGCGAGATGCTCGGTAAGCGAGGTTGCACTGTAATGTTGAACACAGAGTTGCCTCGACATTGTGCAACTAGGTAATGTAAAGAAGCATGCCAGGTCAACCATTTTACCAGACAGACGGTCATTGTACACGGTGTTATGGGGTTGCTTCAGTGTACCATGGAAGTGTGATGGTGGGGTGTGGATGAACCAACCTAGGAGAGCCAAGCGCCTAATTGCAATGACTGTGAATGCCTGTAAACAGTGTAGATGAGAAGAATCAGTGGCAGATAAATCAGTTTTGTAGACACTATCATGTGACAATGGTGACAGACGTGGCATTTCCAGAGTGGAAATGGACCCCACGTGGCTAGTGCTTATGGATAGGCTGAAATGGCTGAAAGAGTGGCCAAGCAGGAACAAAGGAATAAATGCTTGGCAACCAGGGACAGACATGGGCAAAAATGAAGGACAGATCAAGAAGAGACTAGAGTCGCTATGGGTCCTGGCCAAGAAATGATGGAGGCCGTGATAAGCGCCATGTGGTCCACTCAGACAGAATTTAAAGAAACCATTAGCAAACGAGTAGAAGGTATGCATGAGGTACTCGACACTGAGTTCCAATGATCGCAGTTTGATACACAAGTGATGAAGATGCCAATAGACACCACACTGGCGGAAGTCCTAGAAAAATGGAAAATCCGGATCATACTGAGATATCAGTTGATAAAGAGGAGTTTCAGAATCCCACACATCACTGACCACAATTAATAAGAACTTCATTCCACCAGTTGCTCCACAATCACCCTCACCTATCATCTGGGGCTGGTACAATAGGCCAGAAGTGGCCACAGTACAAGGGACTTAGTCCCACTCCACTAGCAATAAAAAAAAATATCACAGCTTTTCACTGTTTGTGTGCATTATTAATGTACGAATTTTGTGACATAGAACTTCTGTAACCTTATTTGTTGATTGCATTTTCAGATACATTACCACCTTACTTGCAGCCAAGGGAGTATGAGGAGTCAACAGGTAAACCTGAAAGTGTCACAGAGAAGCACAAAGACCACAAGACAACGTTGCAGCCTCAGATTACATATGTTCCTACAGTCCCAACACCTCCACCTGTACCTCTAGACAAGAGGGGCGAAGAGCTAACATTTGAGGAGACAGGGCATCACAAAGTGTTCATGTTTGCCAAGAGTAATACATTTATTCAACTGGATGGAAATCGGATACCAACATTCCAACTCAGGTAGTGGCATTCACACAATTAATTTATTTTGGGTGGGAACTGCAACACAAAGTGCAGTCCTTACTGATTGCTGAGACCCAAATATTATTTCATAAAGGTCTTTCTTTAACATTTGCTTTTTGTTACCACTGCATGGCTGTGATTTGATCACAGGTATGAGTGGAATCCAGATTATTTGGAGCTGTGTATTGGTTTTCTAGTAGAAGTTAGTTGAGTAATGAAAAATAAATACAGAATAGGCATATTTACAAAAAGATTGAATCACCTAAAGCTCGTTATTTTGCAACGAGGCAAAGTTTCAGATGTACAAGAGTTGGATAAAAAGTAGTGGTAACACTGCTCTAACATGAAAAATGTGCATCAGGTGGCACTAACGCCATCTGTAGCTGATAGCAGAAGTTCAGTTGAAGTAGTGCAGTGAGTGGCTCTGGTTGTGTTTCATTGAGTTGCACTGTGCATCATCTTGAAGTGCAGGAGCCCAGTTCAAGTACCCTAACAACAAAAAACTGTTATCAGTGACTGTGAGAAGGACGTGGTAATACTGCTTTACCATATCACACAGTGGCACGATGGGTGAAATTGTTCCGTGAAGGGAGGGATGCCATTCAGGACAGCTGTCGTTCAGGATGACCCCATGTTGACAACCACACAATTCAGCTTCTTGCTTCTTTGCTGGATGTCGATTGTTGATGGGCTGCACGTGAGTTAGCTACTGAGGTAGGCGTATGTCACAAAACCATGCTCCACATTCTGAACAATATTCTTGGATACCGCAAAATTGCAGCGTGTTGGGTATCCCATACAGTGTTCGAGGTGCAGCAACGGCCATGTTACGCAATTGCACAGGACTTGTTGGACCAGTATCAGAGGGAAGGTGACGACTTCCTTGGAAGGACTGTCACTCTGGACGAAACTTGGGCCCACTCTTACGAACTGCACTTGAAGCGGCAATCAAATGAATGGACGCATCCTGGCTCTCCTCATCCAAAGAAAGTTCCCCCTACACAGAGTAATGTGAAGGCGCTGCTTACTGTGGCATATGACATTGATGGTGATACTGCACCACACTGTACTTCAACGACAGACAGTAAACACTGCCTACTACTGCAATTTCCTGCATAATCATATTCGTCCAGCACTCAGGAGAAAGTGACGACACTTGTTGGTAACAAACCCCATCATCCTTCATGACAGTGCAAGGGCTCATACTGCTGACGCTGTGAAGGATCTCCTTTGCCGCTGGCGGTGGGAGATGCTGCAACATCCGCCATATTCACCCTATATGAGTCTGTAAGATTATGATCTCTTTGTCAAAATGAAAGAACCACTGCGAGGGACACATTACAACACAGGAGAGGAGATTATTCGTGCTGTAGGGCGGTCACTGCTGGACATCAACAGAAGTGGATGCACTGATGGTGTACGATGCCTTCCACAAATTTGGCAGAAGCTGGTACACATGGGGGGGGGGTGATTATATTGAAGGAATGTAAGTGTGTTTATCTCAGGTAATAAAGTCATTTCAGAACTATAGAGGTGTTGCCACTACTTTTTATCCAACCTTTGTATTATGCAGATCAACAGCAACTAAGTTTGTATTTCCTAAGATAATGTCCATCCAAATCACATTTTCCAGAATTGAGACGTGTTGTTATAATCAGTAAGTATTTTTATGTATTAATTCGCAGTTTATTGAATAACGAAGAAAATGATCAGTATGATGATTAACATAAGGAATTCAGAGCAGAATTATTAAAGCCTACTTTTCTGTTACATAGGTTTTTGGCCCTCCAGGTCTGTTACTGTCATTATTGTTATATTATTTTATGTCTATTGAATAACTAAGTATACAATCTGTCTACCTTTAGTACACCTGATATATAAATGTATTGCATTTCTGCCATGTTTATATTTGTTCAGTCACAAACAGTATTTCATACATTATATGTAGGCATATCATGATTTATCTCCACAGCAGATTTCACATTCCTACTTTCAGTCATTGCTAACTATCTGCATCAAAACTGAGAATATGTCTCATGGCTGCTATGCTGTTATTTTACTTTCTACAAGGTAACTTTAATAAAAGTTGCATATTTTCCTGACAAATATTGCCATTTATAATATCAGGGTCCCAAGTTCAGTGGCACTCATATCCCCCCCACCTCATAAGAGTGTCTGCCATTTTGTTATTATTGTTTGTAGGAAATGAATAAGTATGATGTAGCCTGTAATGGCATAACATTTATACCAAATTTTATGGAAATCTGTCAACTGGTTCAAAAATTCAAATAGGAAGGAATGCAGCCAGACACAGTGCAAGTCTGTGTGTGTACAGACATACAGATGCATGTCCACAGATGCACATAGTCACATGTGCGTGCACATGTGTGGCCCCCTCCACATATGCACATATGTGCACACATTCTGGTGATTTCATAAACTTTATTTATTTCCTTAAGGAAGGATAGTATGCTAATGATTGTTAATAATGGATATTCAGCGTATCAAAAATAACCATTTGGCAGTGGCTTAAATTATTTTTCAATACTCTGCAGCCTCTCTGGAATTTAAATTCTAGATATGCTAAGGTAAGGTAAATTTAAATTGTCTTTGTGGTTATACACTACACCATGCAGGCATATAGGGGATATGAAGATATAGCTCCATTCATTTTTTACCTTGCCACTAGACAGATAAGAATGGTGAGCTTCAATTCTAACCTCCTTGGTTCTGGGGAAAGAGCCCCCCTGGACCCATTGAACAGGAGACTGGGTGGTTGTTGAGCTAGTCTTGACATTATTTTGACACATAAAAAAGTATTTGCCCCTGCCAAGAATTGAATTACTTATGGTGGTAACATCAAAATATTGTAGCGTGTAGACCCATTACTAGGTAGCAACCGTGAAACAAACAGGTTCCCATGAGGAGTTTATGCACAACAATAGAGGAACTGTTGGAAACTTGTGTTTTTTATGTGGTCCATGCCAAGGGGTTAGTCAGTTGTAAGTCAGGCTGTGAACAGAAGAGTAGGAGGTTGGTGTGAGATGGCCGCGAGCCTGGGAATTAGTCGATTGGGAACAACAGTTCAGACTGATATATTGGGTTTCTGGACTTTATCCATCGTCCTGGTTTTTAAGATAACAAATAAAAACACGACGTTTCGGAAACTGGATCTGTTTCCGTCCTCAGGTGAAGGAAAAGGGAAACACCTATTCTGTTGGGTCCATTAGAAAGAGCTAGCCTCAATCACTGGACCAGTGATTCCTTCACCTGAGGATGGAAACAGATCCAGTTTCTGAAACGTGTTTTTATTTGTTATCTTAAAAACCAGGATGATGGATAAAGTCCAGAAACCCAATATATCAGTGTGTTATACACCATCGTCAGAATCCTATAGTAACAACAACAGTTCAGTTTTGAGATATTTGCTGGACAGTAACAACATGAGCACAGAACCTGAAGAATCTCCATTGTCAAGATCCATTACCAGAAAGTAACTAGTGAAAGGAAACTGAGAAGGCCTAGCGTGTGCTGTAGTGATTTGTAAAGTGGGAGATTAGTGATAATGTTACAGTTACTTGTAGTTATGAACTGTAAGTGGCCAATAAATCCAGTCTCCAATCCAAACCTGGCTATAGTCACTCTATACATGTGACAATATTATGCTTTTGTTCTTCTCTCTTCATTCTTCTCATTATTTGTTTGCTGCTCTTTATTCTTTTCTTTGTTCTTTGACTATATATTTCCCTTTCTTCATATGCTTGTTCTCGTTTCTCTTCTGTGTGTTATTGTTCTCCAGCTCCTTTATGTCTGTTTAGCCTGTAGACAGTTTACTGCCAAAGGTAACCCTTACTGTTTTGTACAAAAATAATTGATGCTCTTCAATATGAATCTGAACCCAAGTGGATACAAGTTGTATTACCCTTGCTGTTGTTCTGGAAAGGAATTATGGTAGTACGATGTTATATTGCTTCAGGTTGTGCCGTGAAATATCATTCCAGTTTCGCACCAAGCTACCCCATGGGTTGCTTGTTTACCACAGTGTGAAAGGTCGACCAGAGGGCTTAGATCCATATGCCCTTTATGTGATTGTGGAGAAAGGACAGCTGAAAGTTGTTCATGTGTTTGGGAAACACTCAACTTCTATCACAGTAGGTGCAGGTGAGCTTGACAAGCATGAGGTCTCCTGTATGTTCCATAATTACAGATGCTGATTCATTTACATTCATGTGGCCTCTATGCAGCTAGCCAGTCGTCAGTAATGTGATCATGACAAATTCGATGAGTTGATTGTAAACCACTCCCACCTCTAAAATATGTTTCTTCACCCTTGCCAGGCAGTCAAAAACCAGAGAGATCGAAACGTTGTAATCAGAGGAACTGGAAAATAGAGAGGAAGAATGTATTCCATACTATTTTGCATGCCTTACAAGCGTTTGTATTCATTTTCTGTGGATACAGAGTTATTGTTGCAGACCTTGCTTAGAGGCAGAAGTTATGTTACTTATATGTAACTAAATATCCTCCAATTGAAAGGGATTTCAGATAAAAGAGGCAGTCCCAAATGAGCTGTGTGTTTTATTACGTATTATATTTTGTATGAGCCATTTTTAAGGACATATGTGAACTTACAACAATATGATACAAGATAAGATACCGCAATATGTGAATATAGTTCTGTACTTCACGTAAAGTGGGGGTTACATGATACCAACACAAACCAGAATTAAATTTTGTCACACAACTTTTAGTATAGATCCCTAGTATGAAAATTGGGTTGCACCATAGCTCAAGCGGTTAGCCGCTGGCTTCCCACTGTGGCGGCATGGGTTCAATCCTGGGTCTGGTCAAGTGGGATTTGTAGTGGACAAAGTGGCGCTGGGGTAGGTTTTCTCCGAGTACTTCAGTTTCCCCTTCCAATCTTCATTCCACCAATTACTCCACAATCGCCCTCACCTACCATCTGGGGCTGGTACAATAGGCCAGAAGTGGCCGCAGTACAAGGGACTTAGTCCCACCCCACTAGCAATAAAAAAAATAATATGAAAATTTATCAATTCTATTTGGTGGTTTTGGAGATCAATCATTGAAAGAGACAGACTCAATCTGCTCTATTTTCATTCACTTCATACATTTACTGCAAAGAATGAATAAAAAGGTTACGAAGCTGCACTTGTGAAATGAGTCTGCACAACTTACTATAAAAGACAGTAACAGATTAACAAAGAAACAAACATTTGACAGTGTTATGATTGCTTGATACTACTTGTTTAATTGCTTGATACTACTTGTTTAATTGACACAGGTCTGAATCGTGACAAGTGGCACAATGTGACTGTTACCATTGATGTGCACAGGGCACGACTTATAGCGAAGGTGGATTCTAAGCAAGCTGAGACACACATCCTAGGTCTGCATACATCTACTAACTATGGCGTCTCAACTGATCTCCCATCAATCGTTCTGATTGGGGGTAAGACTTACTCATGCTACTATAAATATATAACTGAATGGCTAGAGCTTTGAATTCCCCTTGAAAAGATGTGGTAACACGAGAAAGAGCTTTCTTCTGACTGACTATCCTGACTTAAGATTTTCCACGGTTTTCCTAGTCCCTCTAGGCAAACAGTGGAATAGTTGATGGCACACCAGTTCCTCATGGTGATGGAATATTTCATTACCAGATATAACCATTAGCACATTTAGAAAATTAACACCCATTTTCCAGTATGCATAATGTATTTTCAATATACCAGTAACAAGCCAAGGGAGATATTTGTAGTTTGTGCCCAGCATCCCTCAACCCATCTGAGAATCAGTCATTGTCTTTATATTGTATTGTCTGTATACTGTACTCAACATACAGTGGAACCTCGCTTAACGAGCATAATTCGTTCCAGAATCTTACTCGTAATGCGAAACACTCGTTAAGCGAAACAATTTTTTCCATATAAATTAATGTAAAATACTATAATGCATTCCATGCCGAAAAAATACTAAAAAAATTTTATGTATAACGTTTATTCAAAGAAAATTATATATACATTGTTAAGGAGCGTGAATCATCTTCATCTTTTCTTCTATGTGGAATGAACCAAGTTGGAATGTGAATTTGATTTGCAGAAAAAAAAAATTAGTTTATTATTTATGATACATATCTAATTCTTTTTTACTAGAAAGCTGTCTAGAGACATTTGTTTTTGCCGACGCTTCAAAATTTGGTGAAAATGCGACACAGCATTATCATTAAATAAATTTGTAGCATGCATAGCCACTGCCTTATTAGGGTGATGCTTCTCAATGTACGATGCAACAGTTTCCCATGCTTTCAGCATTTCTCTTATTGCGCCAGAAGATTGTTGCAAATATTTTTTCACAGAAGAACCAACCACTTCATTGATCCAATCAGTAAAAAGGTCACGTGTCACCCAAGCCTTGTTGTTGGACCTCCACATCACATTTAGCCTGCTCTTCTGGACTTTACACTTCTTGAAGGCTCGTGGAGTTTCGGAATGGTAAACAAGCAGCGGTTTAATTTTCAAATCGCCGCTTGCATTGGCACAAAATAGCAGCATGAGACGGTCTTTCATTGGCTTATGGCCGGGCAGTGCATTATCCTCTGCTGGTATATAGGTTCGCTTCGGCATCTTTTTCCAGAAGAGACCCGTCACAATTAAAAACCTGTTGCGGCAGATAACCCTCAGAATCTATGAGCTTCTTGAAGTCCCCGATGAAGTTCTCTGCTGCCTTTGTGTCAGAGCTTGCTGCTTCACCATGCCTTACAATGCTGTGGATGCCGGTTCTTCTCTTAAACTTCTCGAACCACCCACGTCTTCCCTTAAATGCTTCTTCGGCCGTTGATGATCCTGGCGTCTTCTTAACGAGGTTGGCGAGAATCACTTTTGCCTTCTTACAATTGATGTTCTCGTTAATAGTGTCGCCTTGCAATTGCTTTTCGTTTATCCATATGAGGAGCAACCTTTCAACATTGTCGAGAATACGTAACCATTGCGTAGATATTCTTGTCACTCCCTTTGAAGCATCTATCTCCTCAATCTTGTCCATGTTCTTGAGGATAGTGCAAATCGTTGATGTAGACTGATTGTATGTGCGTGCTAGATCAGCCCGCTCAACCTCGTTCTCACTTTTCAATGATTTTACGTTTCATTTCTATGGGTTTTTAATTCTCTTATGGCTGTCTTTTTGTGGCCTTTTCTTCGGGGACATTTTTGCAAGGGTTATTAACCTTTGCACAAAAAAATTCACAAATAATATGTCTGACCACAATTTTGGAAAAATGTGTGATCACAAGCGACACTAAGATGCTAGCGGAACGACTGCTAAACACAGACTGATGTAGCACGCGCACAATCCGGGACTTCCCCTCTCATCACTCATTATGCGAAACGTTGCTCCTTAAGCGAGTCATTTTTTTACTATTTGTTTTGCTCGTTATGTGAATTACTCATTATGAGAGGTGCTCGTTAAGCAAGGTTTCACTGTATTATTAATTTTTTGTGAACTTGATTTCAAATCACCTTGCCTTGCATCATGTAACTGCTCTTCAGTATCAGCATAATAAATAAGTACATACTGTAGTATATTTACTACACATCTACCTACATTTACTATTGTTTATATATGTGTTTATTATTTTGGGTTACTATTCCCCTTTAATACCTACAAATTAAGGGGGTATTCATTTTCGTTTTACTAACCTTTTGTTGGCAACTTTTAAATTAATGCATTCTTTTGTAAAGTTAGAATGTAGCACATAGTTCCATAGACTGTTACTAACGGCTTGAATCCATTTGCACCCTCATATAATAACGTTTTCATCGTTAAAATATGGAATTTATGTATACGGGGGATGTGGAATGAGTCAGTAGTTTTGATTATGAAATTTTCAAACAAATGAAATAAGGAGTGAGTAATGCAGCCAGCAATACTTTTCACAGGACTCAGTCCAGAAGAGAAACTACATGGAGTGAAGTATATCATAGAGTCATTTGTGGGATGCATCAAACAGATGGTGCTGAAAGCAGGAAAGGCAGCCTCTGATCTGCTTCACATCAACCCCCTAATTGCAACAAAACATGAGAATGTTGTGGAGGGATGCATTGACAAGTAAGTGTAACTTCAGATGCTACTGTGCCAGTAGTATCATGTGATTAACAGTTCTGTTATCATTAATTATTTTCTTTAGTCAGTTCATTGAATATATTGTATTACAATTCTTGATTTGTATCCTGAGAATTTGTCTCTTAGAATTGGAAATTTATGAACAACAAACCATTTTTTTTTTCATAGTTCAAATTAAATATGGGCATGCATCTAGGCCTCTCAGTCTAAGGTAAGAACACAGATTGAAGGACGATGAAGAAAATTACATAATGAGGAGCTTTATAAGTTAATCACTGCTGGTAAAGATACAGGGTATTAAGATTTGGACTAGATTCAACACAGTTGGGATAGTGACCAGTTGTGGAGTTTTGTGAAGACTATTTTTATTCAGCACAAGTCCTTACTTCCAGATCATAAATATTGCACAGTTCATACCCTGCATTTATAATCCATGTCACGGCTCAGAATTTGATGTTACCTTACTTCCAGATCATAAATATTGCACAGTTCATACCCTGCATTTATAATCCATGTCACGGCTCAGAATTTGATGTTACATGTTGTCATGTGTATGAAGTTACTATAGACAAGTTTGGATTGGTGACTGGTTTATTGACCCCTTACAGATCGTGACTACAAGTAATTATAATGCTATCACTTATCTCCACACTTTACAGATCACTGCAGCACATACTAAGCCTTCTCATTCTGATTTCATTAGCTGTTTCCTGGTAATGGATCTTAACCATGGAGATCCTTCAGATTCTGTGCTCACATTGTTACTGTCCGGTGAATGTCCCACAGCTCTCATTGATTCAGCTGACTAACTCTGAGGCTGGCAGCCATGTTGCACCAACCTCCTGGTTTTCACAGATTGACTAACAGCTAACAAGGTCTTTGTTATGCAAAAGAAAATAATAAGAATACTGATTGCAGTTGGCCGAACTCATACATGTAGAGACTCATTTAAAAAGCTTGGCATACTACCAATCCCATGTGTATATTTGCTCCCATTGATGACATTTGTTGTTAATAATTTGGATAAGTTTCAGACCAATAACTCTGTATATATGGTTGGTACAAGAAGGAATGACCACCTTCATATATCTACAACACATTTATCATCCTATCAGAGAGGGGTGTATTATTCAGGCGTCGAGCTATTTAACACCCTGTGGTCAAATATCTCAGTTTTAAAAAATGATAGAAATCAGTTTAGGTTTGTTTAATGAAATTATTTGGAAAGTAACTCATTTTACTCTATTGATGAATTTGTCGAGCATGTAAGGGGCTCAAAAGTTAAGAGTTAATAAATGGTCTGTGTGCTTGTATTATACGTTGTTGAGACTTGCTTGTAAGTGTGACAGTAAGTATGATGTCTGTGTTTGTTATGAATTTTAATATGTTATAATGATACTGTATTGATGATATGGCTGGCCAGTGCATGTGGAATGGCAAGGTGTGTTCTATTTCCGGCAAATATTTTTTCTCAGGCAAATTCGAGATAGTGAAATTTAGCGCAAAATTGTATGAACAGAAAAGAATGAATCTTCAATTGCAGTATATTACATTCAACCCTTCTTTAGCTTTCCTGCTTCTATGCCAAATTTATATTTGAGATAACTTTAATCTCTATGGTCTATTGCCTAGATCTTACAAAAACACTTTCTGTTTAATTGAAGTTATATTTTACACAGGTTTTACTGTAAAATTTTCTGGAATGTGAGGGTAAAGGTGTAGATTAAAGTACAGATTTCCTAACATACCATGTGATGCATAGAATGCCAGATGTGAAATGGATTAATAATAACTAACATAACCAAAATTAACTTTAGTTAATTTAACATTATGAGTGATATGCACCATAGTCAGAATTTCAACCAACTGGATTATTAATACAAACATTCAGTTCATTCAGTAATATAATTTTGTTACAGATGTGATACAAAGGAGAACCTTTGCTTTGTTGGTAGCCATTGTGTGAATCATTACTACAGCTTAACATGTGACTGTTTTGGACGCAAGTATGAAGGAGAGCAGTGTGACATTTACAGTGAGTTACATGTTATGTCTTAATATGATGAAAATTTATTGCTATGACATGAATATGTGAATGAAGTACAGAATTGTAGTTCTTGCTGTCTTTATGCCATCTTCTAACTTCATAAGTTATAAGACTTTTTAATGCATGCTTCAAAATTTTGTTCTTTATGTAATGAAAAGTGTTTTGAATTGTCTTGGTAGCACAGGTGCTGTGATGCTCTGTGTTTGCAGTTACTGGCTGAGATGACTGTTTCACAGGAACAGATATTAATCTTCCACAAGACTGTACTTAGTAACAGTGTTACTTTTTTATATATTCTGAGGCTGTAACAGAAGTGAATGACATGGACAAAACTAACACTGCAGACTCTGAGTATCTCATGGCCTTCTGGAATTGAATTGATCAATGAAAAGCCTCCAGATATTTTTGTCATCCCACATTTTCTTATCTTCCACCTTTGTTCATACTATTCTACTACTTTTAATACTATCAGTCGCTTGTGTAAACTGTCCGGATCATTGTTACGCTTTGGTGCTTTTGCACTTTATTTGTAATACCAAAACTTTTCTAGGTAATCTATTTATATATGCTCTTTAAGCACATCCATACTGCTATACTCCTTCATATCCAGCACCATTTAGCATTCTTAAACTCCTAATTTCCTCTCTTTATACCACTCTATCCCTTTTCTCTATGATTCTTATTAAAATTTTCAGTTCCATTGCTTTTGTTTTGTCATTATCTTTCTTTTGCCTGTTTTTCAGCTTCAAACATTTATGTTGATTTAAAGCACAACTGTCTGGTTGTTTATAGTTTATCATTTCATGAATCTGCATTCCAAATTTTCCTCTTCACAATGTAACACAATTTTGAACTTAGCTGGATTGTTTTATGCATATACCTTTCAGTTTTCAACTGTTAATTTCTCCTAAAATGTATGCATATGTCCGTTTACTTTTTGTAGTGTTATGTCAGCAGATCAGTTATATCTGTAAAACGGAATCTGAAGCTTATTGTAAAAGTTCACAGTAAAGCAGCAGCACAGCTTCAACCTATAATGAACAGTTCTTAGAAGATATACAGTACTTCCTGTGGTATGTTTCAGCTGGCACAGTTTTGACTCTTCGTGGCTCCTCCTACATCTCGTACCGTGTGTATGATTGGAAGGATCGTGTACATTCCAGTATAAACCGCATCAGCTTCTTCTTTAAGGTGAGCGCATGAGGAGCATCATGGCATCGACTACTAGGTCATGTGTCTTCCTTTTTTTTTTTTTAAGGAACTCCACATCACAGAGTCTTTCATGAGCAGTTCATAATTAGGAAAGTACAGACTTAGTACATATGTACCATGAAACTGTTGAAAGTAATGATTGTGGCACACTTGCACATATGTAAAGCAGTTTAGTATTGGTGGTTCTGTCTTATTCTCAGCAGAATCTGATTCAGACTGTACAGTGCTTTGCATTCTTAATGAGCTGTCCCACAATTTTTTCTTAATTGATTAGTACCCACTACTGAACCTTTTCCTGAAATAGTTTAATCCAGTCTGCGTCTTCACACACTATTTCTTTTAGATCATTTTGATATTGGCCTTCCATTTGTGCATGAGGATGCATTTCTTATTTCCTCCATGCATGCTATATTCTGCACTCATGTAATCCTCCTTTATTCGCTCACCCTAATAATAATAGTTCAAGATTAAAAATTATTGAATTCCTTATATAAGTTTTCAAGTTCCCTTTTTCTTCTCAGGTTCCATTATTCTTCACAGCACTTTCTTCTGATGCATCCTCAATATATGGCAGACCAAATTTAATGATTATGTAAAATAATGGGTATAATTAAAGTTTTATTTTCTTTTAATCTTCAGGTTTCTGCTAGGTAGGACATAGGGAAGTAAAAGGTTCTCAACTGAATAGAAGACGTCATTGATCAGCATATTGTCACATGTTAGTGACTAGACATGGGGTCTGGATTGACAGTTGGATGTACTGAACACTTGTAACTTGCTGACTACAAATAATATAACACTATTGCTAGTCAAGACGCAGAGTTACGATTTTTGCTTCTTTCTGTGGTGCTGAAAAGTGACCAAGCTGAAGGCAGTGATTGAATAAATGTGTTAAATGGACAAGAGGTCTCCTTGGAAGATAATGGAGTTATTCATTTGGAATGCCATGAAAATCATAGGCCATCCTAATTTCAAGGATTGTATTTCTTGTAAGACGTCACAGGGTCAGAAATTAGCGGGTATCTGCATCAATGGTAGGCAGCAGGGCTTTGACTAGATCATCCACATGTCTGTCTGTGGTCACAGTCAGACAAGTAATGCGCCCTGAGCTGGTTTTCTAAGCAGTCTGTGATTATGTTGGTTTTATTGATTGGATACAAATGGGGCCTAAGGGACCATGAATTGCAGTGCCTTTGATACACCAATTTTTGTGACTGATTTTGCAGTAGGCCATATTGCTTGAAGTGTGACTTTGCAGCTTGCCAAATTTGTTTCTCATGTTTCAAGTGTTCTTTTGTTCGTTTCTGGACCATTCTCCTGATATTTCGAGTCACCAAGTTTACTGCCGTTTTGCATGATGGCTCCATGATTTCTTGACGTAGTTTTCTGAGCTTTCTTTTAAGCTTCAACAAACGATCTAGGCCAGGTATTTTGTATTTCCGGTCTAAAATTCTAGTGTATTCTAGCCTGCATGACGAAGCTGTAGAGGCTACAAAGTCATGCTGCTTTAACAGATTTATTGGAAGAGTGAAGTTGGACATTTTGAGGTATGAGTTCAGAGGTGAGGCTTTGAAACAAGTCCCAGTCTGTCAGATTTTCAACTGGATCTAAAGCTTTCCTCACCCTAACAGGGTTCAGTTGTTCAATTTATTTATGTTCCGTAAATCCAGATACAGGTAAACACCATAGGATATGGAACAGTCAAATACAATATAAATACAACATCTGTACCATAATAGTCTAGTTGAAAAATTAATAAAATTACAAATTACATAAATATAAGTTAATTGTACTTATGCATCACAATTTGAGCCTGTTAACAGAAACAGTGTTGATGAGTACATCGCTGATAAGTAATAAGATTCTAATTTACTTAGATACAAGTTAATTATACTTGTGCATCACAGTTTGAGCTTGTTATCAAAAACAATGTGAATGAGTACATCGTTAATGATTATAAAATTTGTAAGTAAAAGTAAGATCCTCATGTCTCTAGGAGACCTCTGAGCAAAATTAGGCAGTTTCCCGCCCAAGTAATTTCCAATTCCTCCAGTAGATGGGGAAGTAACAGGGACCACTACCGGAGAGGGCCGACCTCACATCCCCTCTACCGTCAGGTGCGTAATGCATAGAGTATTGTGGAGCTAAAATTTCGAAGTTAGAACTAACAAATAATTCCATGAGCTTCAAGCCTGAGGGGGTCTCAGAGTCAGAGTTTCTTTATGACGGGCGGTTTACTGTCAATCAGTTCATCTTGGCACAAGCCCCTTTCACGACTAGACATTTCTCTTCAACTGAACCCTTGCAGCCATAGTCCTTATGTAACATCCTCTCTGATGAGAGGATAGGTCTGTTGTTTACAATTGCTGTTGGCCCTCGACAGCACAATCATTCTCAAGTCTGAGCCCCATGGGACTTGTGACCATATTTTAATGTCTCAGAAAATTCCCCCCGACTGGAGGGCCAGGTCCTGGTATTTATATCCCCAAGGAACAGGGTGACCTAGTTAAACCCCCAGGGACAGGGTTCCCTTTTCATCGCCTCCTGCGACTCACAGGGATATGATGGAGGTATTTGAACCTCCCTCTATGTGGGTTTGCTGCTTCAAACTGTCCTCTGAGGGTGTGAGGGAGTCATCCTTATACTATAACCTTGACACGGACCACACAGGAAGCACCATTTCCAACAGTTCCTCTACTGTTGTGTTGACTCTCCAGTACCACTACATGCTTATTGCCTTGGAAATGTGTTTAGCTTATCCTTGGCAAGCAGCAGGCACTGTTCAATTTATCGTGTCACAATTTGGCTATGGCTGATTGTATCATTCATGAAGCTGAGCCCTTCTTAAGAAGCTGCCAATTATGCAGCTACTCAAGAAATTCCGAGCATTTTATGGAATCCGAAGGTTCATTACTGTGTTCACAAGAGCCCTCCACTGGTCCCTATCATGTGCCAGATCAATCCAATCCATACTATCCCATCCACTCTCTCTAAGATCCATTTTAATATTGTCCATCCACCTACGCCTTGGTCTTCCCAGTGGTCTCTTTCCTTCTGGCTCTCCCACCATTATCCTATACGCATTCCTCGTCTCCCCCATTCGTGCTACGTACCCTGCCCATCTCATCCTCCTTGACTTGATCATTCTAATTATACTTGGAGAAGAGTACAAGTTATGAAGCTCTCCATTATGCAATTTTCTCCAATCTCCTATCATTTCATCTCTCTTCGGTCCAAATATTCTCCTCTACATCCTGTTCTCAAACACCCTCAGTCTATATTTCTCCCTTAATGTCAGGGACCAAGTTTCACACCCAAACAGAACCACAGGCATAAGTATAATTTTGTTTATTCTAATTTTTATGCTTTTGGACAGCAGACAAAAAGACAAACAGTAATGGACTGAATGATAACAAGCATTACCCAAGTTCAGTCTCCTCTTAATTTCTTCCTGAATCAGATTTTGATTTGTTATAGTGGTTCCCAAATATCTGAACTGTACCACATTTTCAAAACATCTGTTACCTGTCTTTATGTCATGATTTTTCCCTGCATTCTGATGTTGAGACAGCAACATGTACTTAGATTTCTTTGTGTTTACTTCTAGACCAACCTCCTTACTAGCATCAATTAAAGTTTATGTGTTATGGTATCTATATTATCACCCAGCAGATTCACGTCCTCAGCATAGACCAACAACTGATGTGTCCCATTTAATTTCAGTCCCACCTGGTTTTCGTGGGCTCTTCCTAATGGCATTTTCTAAACGAAGTTGAAAAGCAGTGGCGATAAAGCATCTCTTCATTTTAGACCATTCTGGATAGGGAAATTATTGGGCAAATATTTACCTATATGGACAGTAATATACATTTTGTATAAACACATTTTAATCAACCTGACTAATTTCATGGGTACCCCAAACACTATCAGAATATTGTACAATACTTCCCTCCTAACTGAATCATTGGCTTTCTTGAAATCTACAAATAGCTGATGTACTGTCTCATTGATGTTCTTATCAGTGTACCTAATAAACCATAGCTGTCTTCTACCAAATTCTTACCTGCTCAACACTTATGATTATCTTCCTATCTGAGTCACCACCGTAGAACTTAAAATAAATCAGTCTAGAAGCCATGAAATCATAACACTTACCTTCTGTTTCAGACTCGGTTTGATGATTCAGCTCTTTTCTATGCCAGTGGGGAGCCATATCTACGCCATTATATTGCAGTTTCTCTATTGAATGACACACTTCATGTTGAGATAGACTTTGGGGATGGTGCAGTGTCCACAACAATAGGAAAGGGTCTGCTTTCAAATTATTGGAACAATTTCACAATTGCTCACCACAAGAATGTGATCAGTGTTCATCTGAACTATGACTCAGAAGAGCTGGAACTGCCTGGCCCAAATTACCACCTGTACATCGATCCAGAGATATACATAGGAGGTGGACCTGAACTACACAAAAAGAAAGGTTGTACTGTAATTTGAGTTCCTTCATGATTGTAGTCACGTTATAATTTAATGCTCTCATGTATTGGGTTTATTTGCATAAGAACTTCATATGCATTGATTATTTGTTATTTTAATATTCCTGAACTTTAACATTTCAAGATATATTAATTTTTAAGGCTTTCTTTCCCAATAGAAGAATGACATTGAACCTAGAAAACCAAGACATGGGTGTTCATAGGATCTAAACACAGGCATATTAAGATATCAGACTTAACTACTGTCTTGTACAACTGTACATAAAGGATCTGGAAAGGCTATTATGAAAGTTGAATGGTTGTGTTCCATTGTCTTGGTTATATATATTAGTGAGAGCTTAACCTAAACTTAACAGTAGGAAAGTATACATATTTCCACTGGCACACTCATTTGAGGCACAGAAAATCTTTTGGCTATGTTAATTCCACAGCATACAGGATGGAGCCAGTTGAGTTCTTGAAATGACAAGTTACTGTGTGAGTCTTGTATAGGTGATACTGTTATATGAGAAAAGCCATACTAAGATCCTTTAGCACACCAATTGTGGGTAGTAGTGGGCATACCATCCATTTTGAGAACCTTTTCTCATGTTTAAGGACAGTTACTATACAGGGCAGAATTAATTTGTGGATTTAAAATGTTAATAGAAATCAGTTGTAGGCTGATGACTGTCATGAAATCTATGGAATATGTCAAGAGTCCCTCCTGTGACCGAAGGGTAATATGGGACAGTTTTGGGAATAACTGATCTGTGGCCTAATGCCACTAGGGAGCAAGTTAAACAAGAATTATGAGCACTGGTCAGAAAGAAATTTACATGGAATAACTTCAGTAAGTTACATAACCAATAAAGATAAATTATTTTAATAACCATCTACATGACAGTGAAATGATGAGTATAACAGTAGTTATTTATTCAGTGGTAGTTCTTGGATATGTTTTGAACTCTGATTTGACTGAAAGCTGTTATGAACTGTTTTCAATAAAATTTGCCTGAAAGGCAATCCATTAAAAACTAATGGTGATGTAGAAACAGCAGTGAAATGATGAAATAGGACACTAACTTTACTAACAGAATATATAATAATTCATTTTTTGATGTGATGAGTGTCTAGAAGCTTTTTGGTGCTGTATATTATACAATTTATTGGTTATACAGTGGTTATAAATCATTGCAAACTCATTTTCTGGCTGCCCTTCAAACTTCCAGGCATTCTCGTATCAGTCAGCAAATGTGTATATGTTCACAGGTCTGATGTCTTACAACAATTTTGCGGGCTGTCTTAAATATGCGTTCTTCAATGATATCTCAATTTTGTATGAACTGAAGAAGGGAAATCCTAAGGTTCATTATATTGGTGTACTGGAGCCAGAAATATACGAGACAGATGTAGAGGTGATCCCCATTACATTCCCCTTCCCATCTTCTTACATCTGGTGGCCCAACCAACAGGCAGATAACTTCACGCTTAAATTTTCCTTCAAGAGCAACCGCAGTATGGCTGTGCTAGCAACATCCTCTGTCAGAACTGCTACTGGCAATGGATATTGGGAGGTAAGCTTAAACTTTCTTTGGGCAGTAAATATTGGAGGGCCTTGTGCTGTTTTGTTTCCATATATATGTATATAAATATGAGAAATGCTGAGAAAATTGTGGGGCTGAATTAATGGGAGAGAAATTTGTAGTTGGGCTTCAACTTCACTCAGTGGGTCTGGCAGACGTGAGTCTCTTGTTAAGACATCTTTGTTCAGAATCCTCCATCATGTAATGACAGTTCAAAAATCAACCACTCTTAGCACTCTATATTTACTGTAGCAACACACTGCATGATTGACATGGCCGTTTAATTACACAATTCATTGTTATTTTCCTAAATATATATCCTCTGTATCACTTATTATAGACTTGTATTTATATCTGTATACCTTGTCACTTTATATAAATACTGATGCATGTATTACTCTTTATATATGCATGTCAGTCATTAATGATTATTATGGCAGGTGCGCGCAGTGAATGATGAGATCCGGTTTGAGCTGGTTCCAGATGAAGCAAAGAATGTGACTCATCTCACAACAGTGAAATTCAACTACCGATCAAGCTGGCATGTGGTAAACAGCTCCATCCTAATTCTAGGGCTACTAATTTTTTTCAGAGTTGTTTTTCTGAGAAATGAGATAGTTTAAAGACAGATCTGGCATAGATTCTTAAGTTATCAGTGACAGTGTTTGAACTGCAGAGATGACAAATAGTATGATCACAGGTATAATCGTATAATATAAGGAATGGGTGGTGTGGCATATACTGAATCCAGTTCAGTCCAGTTCCATCCAGTTAAATTCAGTTTTATTTATCCTTTTCAGACAAACTATTGGCATATGATACAACTTTTATACACACATAAATGTTGTCCCTGTGCTTAACTAATTAAGCACTATGCCATGAAGATGCAACATAAATAACATAAACATTTCAGCTGAGTTCCTTCATGCTACCCTGCACTACAGATACAATTCATGAAGAAAAACCAACTCAGATATCATGTTCCACTAATTTAACATGACATATTTTTTACGGAGTAAAATAAATGCTGTGCGTAATTATGAAACCACAAGTGTTCAAAACCATCATTACAAAAGGCCAGACCCTGGAATTAGTAATTTTCTTTTTTTTCATTCTGTGAATCAGTTACCTGGATTAGTTTTTTGGTATGTCATTGTGAAGAAATCTATCCCATCATCTGTAGACAGTTCAGATAAGTTACTCATATATTTTCTCTAGTGTAAATTATACTAACAAACAGTAAGAATTCAGCATTGAAGTGGGTTGTAACTAAGTTGGCATTGTCTGATAAGGAATATCGTGTTCTTTCAGGTGAATCTTAACTACACAAAGGGCAAATTGACACTCACCGTTGATTATAAGTACAAGACAGCACAGCTTTTAGGCCTGAAGTTTCAGCTGGGGGACAGAGTGATCATTGGCAGTGGTGGCAAATTGAATCAAGGTATTTATTTTTGATGGTATTTAATTCTTAATTTTGGAGGAGGAGATATTTAGGAATCACTTAAGCAGTGAAAAGTACTATCTTCTGGGATACAGTGCTGTGTAGTCTGTTGAAAGTCAACCGACGTTTTAGAGGAACATATTGGCCTCATCTTTGGTGTTGAATAAGCTGAGTAAGATACAAGTGTGAAATCAGTGGCAAACATTTGTCTGGAGAAATCAAGAAAACCACAACAAACCTCCTTCAGTAAAGCAGCCAATTTAAGCACAGGTACAGCTGTTAGAATGTTACCTCCATATTGGCACAAAGATTTCCATCTACTTTCATGCTGGTATCTTGCTCGGCTTATTTGACCCTGAAGATGGAGGCGATATGTTCCTCCGAAACTTAGGTTGACTTTGAACAGACTTCATGGTGTTATATCCCAGAAGATAGTGCTCTTCATAACTACAGCTGCAACAACTTCAAATCTTGCATAAAACTGTTGAATGTAAGTTGCTCTTCTGCCTAAACACCATGCCATTCATATGTAAATAGTGCATAAAGAATAACTCAGTGCATTCTCTACTTTTACACAAGTTGGAGGTGAGCAGTCAGCTTCATATTCTCATATTCTAGAAGTTTCATCTCTCAGTAAAGAGCCCTTCATGCTCATTAGACAGAAGTCTGGCTAGACCCCCCCAAATAGCTTGGGTATGGTGGTAAAGAGAAAACTTACTAAGAGCCCCTGATACTGAATGGGCATGAGGCTAGATGGACTGTTTAGTAGCCTGGGTGTGGTGATAGAGAGACAATCTCTTGTCCTTTCAAAAGCCAAACCTGACCCACCTAGCTTGTTGTTGGCCATGTTGTTGATAAGAACTCTAATGGCGGTCTCAAACTTTGTGTCATAAAGGCAGAAAATTATTTCTGCATAACTGCAAAACTGCTGGCTGTACTACAGCTCAGACAGACACTGACATTTCTCTATGGAGGCCATGCTTCAATCCAAGTCAATTCATTGGGACTTAATGATGGAAAAGTACTGGGGCAAGTTTCTCACAGAGAATTTCAGTTTTTCCTGCCAGCTGTCATCGAGTGAGTGGGCGAGCAAGCAAGTGCAGAGTTGTGACGTTGCAGTTGTGTTTTAATTCTGACAGTCAGGTGAATACTCCCTGACACAAGAAACTAAAATTAGAGGGATAATTCTATAACACTTAAGTGAATTTGGTTTTTAGTAATGTGTGTTTTCTGGTGTGACAGGACTTGTGGGTTGTATCCGAGAAGTGGAGGTGAATGGAGAAGCCTTGGAACCACGCTATGTAGTGAGCTCAGATTACAAACAGGGGCAGGTGTCTCTAGATAATTGCCAGTTGGTGGATCCCTGCAAGAGACCCAATGCATGTGAGCATGGGGGCAAATGCTCTGTCAAGGATGACCGTGTCACATGTGACTGTGAGGGCACTGGCTATATTGGCAATAATTGCCACTTTGGTTAGTATGTCACCACTCAGTATGTACCAAAATATTTTGTTTATTCTTAAGTTAAGTGTGTACTTTTAAAAAATGAACACTTGTACATTTTCATCGCTTAGACATATTCATATCTGGCTGCCGAAGAAAGATCAGTCATACTCCTATTTACTTTTGAGTCTACATATGATATTGAACATTTAATTATATATTACATAATTAATTTTTATAATTAGTTTGTGTTTATATTGTTTAAGATTTAAGGTAATTAATTTAACTGCACCAATCACAGAAATGATAGAGAAATTCGAAGGCCTGCAAAAATTTTCATCATTCTTGTGGGAGTGATATTCCTGAAAGTTATGAAGTTCTGCCTTAATAATGTTATGATAACTGACTCATTCAGCAGCCACGAGCAAACCCTGGACGATATAAAGAACCTCCATATCAAGAGAGCCAGGTGGCACAATATCTGCCCCATATAAGAGGGACGATGGGAGGACGAACATGAGCCTGCATGGTTTACGAATTTTAATTACTGACAATACAAAAAAAAATTAATTAGCATCAAGAAATTTTATACAATTTTAAAAAAAACTTTACATTCCCAGGAAACTGCTGTGTTTGTGAAATGTTCTATTTTGTGTACTATGTATTGTAGCATATAAGTGTACGTACTTTACGTCTAAACAACTTATGTGATGGTGGTTTCCTATTTGTAGTGATGTTTGCCCACTGAAGATGGTCCACAGAGACTGAAACATGCAAGGGTGTTAAGTTTTCATGTAGTAAAAAATCTTACAGGTCACATTGGATGGAGTGATTTATATTTGCAATTGTTAGTGTGACGGACCAGAATGAAACAAATCAAAATCTTAAAACTATTTTTATTGAAGAAAACTACCATTGTTTTATTCGTCTTGGAACTGTGTGTATAGAGACAGACTATGAGTATGTAGTTAATCTTGAAACTAGTTTATACTGAGACAGGCTTATGATTTAATTCAGAAGACATTCAAATATTGAGACAGAATGTCAGTGTATGATTTATCTCAAAACTATTTACAGTACATTGAGACTACTGGTATATGACAATCTCAGAAATGTTTATTTTTAGATAGACTGTTGCTGTGTGAATAATCTTGGAACTATTTATATTGAGTGGTATGAATCCCATTTCTGTTTCATGAGGCAGCTGAGCACCGAAAAACATGTGAAGAACTTGCATTGCTTGGATACACTAAGCCTGATGTCTATTTGATTGATATTGATGGTAATGGCCGTTTTCCACCAGCACATGTGAAATGTGAGTTCCAGTCACTAGAGGACTCCACCAAGACAATAGTTGAGCATAATCTGCCCAGCCAAGTGGTGTGTATATACATTACATTCAGTCATTTTGTGCCACTTAATTTTCCTTTTTATACTTTGTAATTAAGATATTTCACTTTATAGGCATTGATTGTCTGCTGCTTTCCATTTCAAAAGTCTGTTAAAATGCAACCAAAAGATGCTGGAATCTACCACTATAATTGTCTGTCTATATATATGTGCTGCATCAGAGCCATGGGTAACATCCAAATGGAGTTGGCAGCTACTTATGCTGAAATTTAAGACCTTTAAAAAACTCTGACTGTAAATTAATGGAATGTAAGAAATGAACCTTATTTATATATAAAGTATGAATCATACTGAATCCAAAACAAAAGAGGAAGTACAATAATTTGTAGAACGCTTAACACCAAAGGAGTTGGAATAGCTTAGTTGATATAGTGATGGGCTACAGACTGTATGGCCAGAGTTCAATTCCTGGCAGTGCAAGATTTTTCTTTTCTCCACAGCATCCAGACTAACTCTGGAGCCCAACCAGGCTCCTATCCAGTGGGTATTGGGGATCTTTCCCCAGGGGTAAAATGTCAAGGGCGTGAAGCTGACCACAAACCTCCATCTAGTGCCAAGGTCAAGAAGGGCAGACCTATACTTCCACTCCCTCATATATCTTCATGTCATAGTGCTTAACTCCTTAAGCACGGGGTCAGCTTTACCTATATGCTTACTACGATTTAGTACTGGGGATTTTTCCTGTATGTAGCAAAGGATAAGTCTGGAACAACATATTGAGATGTGAAGGAAGAAGGATTTGGAGGGATCATATTTAGATGAAGGGGTTTATGAATATTAATGCAGAAATACATATTAGGAGGACAGTAGGGTTCAAGAATAAGAGCAATGGCAGAAAATGTGAATATATATGAATAAATATGAAGAGAAATGTGAAAGGATGGTAAGAAAGAAGGAGAGTGAAGTAGAAACAAATCTAGAGCAATAGTAGTCAGTAGAGATAGCAATTTGATACATGTAATTAAAATGTTAAAATATGATAGATGAGTTTTTTCTACAGGAATTATAATCTAAGTAGAATTGTGGAGTGTAGAAACAGGGACTCAAAACTATGGAATCCCAGAATATAAATTGCAATGAACCTAAATTATTACAGTATTAATTATATTACATACAATGTATGAATAATACTGAATCCAACACAGAAGCAGAACCATTATAAATTATAAAACGCCAGCTACCATTCAGTACAAAATCATTTGTCTTCCCATCACCCATCTAGAAATCCAAAGGTAAATGTGCACAGACTTGAGGATGGGGAACTTACATAATTAGCAGTATCATAATCTGTACCGTTCACTTCTTTATTATTGGGGTTATTAAATTCAGGAAGATAAGATGGAATGGGCATTTAGTACAAATAAGAGAGATCAGATATGCATACAAATTTTAGTCAGAAAACCTGAAAGGAAGAGATCCTTTGGAAGACCTAGGTGTAGATAGGGGTTAGTATTAAAATTGATTGATTGAAATCGAGTGTGAAGGAATGGATTTGATTGAACTGGGTCAGAACAGGAACCAGTCAACAAAATTCTGTGAACATTCGGCTTAATGAAAGTGAGGAATTTCTTGAACAGCTGATGAGTTACCAGTGTTGCAGGAAAGAATCTGCAACCTACAGCTTAGTAAATAATGAGATTAATATATAATATTTCATAGCCAACCTAAGAGAGATGTTATTCATAGATGACAGACATTTATTCCATGACTGTGAAAGGGATAATGTTTGAGACAGAAAAGTGTGAAACTATATATATAAAAACATCATAATCATTACAGTGGATTGCTATTGTTTTGTTCAGGATGTGCGGAGTTCCACAGATAAAGATTTTAGCTTCAACATCACTTATCGGGAGTTCACAGCAGAGATGATGCAGGAGTTGATCTCACACTCCCTGTATTGCAGTCAGAAAATCAAATATGATTGCTACAAGGCACCACTTGAACTGCATTCTGCCACCTGGTTTGTGTCATCCATGGAATCTGACATAGTTGACTACCTGGGAAACGTAAAGCGAGGGGCTTGTCCTTGTGCAGGTACACTGACTCATCAAATAAAATCTCCAATATGCTGTCTTTCCAATTTTATATCCCTGAGTGGTTGTATTTTTTAACAGTTGCTGCTTTTGACACAACTAATCTATTATAGAATAATGTTATATTTTAGCATCCTGTTGCACTGATTTAAGTCCATGATTTATTTCAACCGTCTTCCAGTGCATACACTCATCTATCTCACTCCTCTCTCTCGCACTACATGTTTCGGCACAAAAGTGCCATCTTCAGGTGCTTATTCGATTTACGCTAAACTAGTTCACTGCATGTCTTGCCATCTTCATATTAAAATTTTTAACATTTAATATTTATCAATATATATGATAAATATATATTTTAGTTATTTTAATATGAAGATGGCAAGGCATGCAGTGAACTAGTTTAACGTAAATTGAATAAGCACCTGAAGATGGCACTTTTGTGCCGAAACATGTAGTGCGAGAGAGAGGAGTGAGATAGATGAGTGTATGCACTGGAAGACGGTTGAAATAAATCATGGACTATTATAGAGTAGACGGGGCATACATTTTGCTTACAACTATGAGCAACACTAGATGTTCTACTGTATATAGATCCTTTTCCTTGGATTTAATTAAATATACACCACACATGTTATATACCAAGTGTTTGTATGATGAGAGTATTTGTGAACTTTGTACATATTAATTTTAGCATCAAGTTAAATAGGATTATATTATGGTAATATGGACCAAAGTGATGTTCATCCACCAAACTTTAAATGTAGATTAGATGTGAGAACTTCACTGAAATCTCTTTATTGTTTTGGGAGATAAGGACTATAAACCGACGGGCTCACATGACATTTTTATTTTGTTCAGTTACAAGTTCTGATATTTTGGAACCATAAATGGATGATGTCTTCTGACACTTCTATGCTTCTATTCATTTTGTGTAGACTTTGACTTTTCTTTAATGCTGGAGCCGTTTCCCAAACATTTCTGTTCACAGAACATTTTTGGTTGAAATATGCTGGTGAAACTGCATAAATGCTAAAAGTTGCAGATATAACGTGTATTAGGACATAAGCAGGAAGGATTTGGAATCATGTGTGAAACAGAATGGAAAAGAAAGCTGAAACTGAAGATTGTTTATGCTTTTCCTGGGATTAATAAGAGGACTATTTGTTTTTCTTGTGTCCAAGTAAGATGTCTCATTCTGAAGGGTTCTGACACTGTATTCCACTCAGTATTACAGGTTTTCTGGACTTGGTCCATTGTTTGATGTCCTTAAAATGAGAACATAGTATTTTGGGAGCTGGATCTGCTGATATCCTCAGGTGGGGGTGGGATACCTGCTCAATACTGTCTGATACTACTGAACTGTGTCATGGCATTTAGGATATCAGATGGGAAAGTCCAGAAATTTACATTATCATCATTGCTCTTTGGAATTGATTTATACAACCAGTATAGCCCAAGCATTATACCCTCCTTTAGGCTGAGTAGATATCCCCCACATGAGGACAGCTGCAGATCCAGCTCCTGAAATATTGTATTCTGGTTTTGCAATGTCAGTTGTTGAATGAAGTGCAGGAAATTAATAATACTAAACTGAGTCATGCAAAAATTTTACAAATGAGTGGAAGTGGTAAGTAAATTATTCGTCTGTTCAGTATACACGTGGTATATTAAAGAATCAGCATTACTGTACTTCACAGAGGCTAGCAGGGATAATAGTTACACATATTTTGATACATGAAGTTCAGGTTGCCCACAAAAATTGTAAGTAAAGATTTGTGGCATACCACATTTTTCTCTTTTCATTAAAATTTTTTGTTGGACTTCATATAATAAAAGCAGTAAAGTTGTCTTGGAAGTATACTGGGGGACTGACAGTAAAGATATGTGAAATTTCATAGGCTGACTCTGTCTCCATCCTCAGGAAAAAGGAAAGGGTATATTCTCTGTGGGGCTCTTTAAATAAAGCTTGACCTTGTTCTTAGCCCAAATACTTATGCTAGGTGCAGCATTCAGTTTTCTATTACTTTGTTTCTGGATTCGTAATTTAAGTAGAAAATTTGTCAGTAAATAAACTTCTTTGTGGAATGCCAGTTCATAGGAATTTAAACACAGCTCTTAGTGTCTGGTTTGTGGTGCAAGAAACGCTTGTGTTTATAGTGAACAAAACGTGTGTGGATCCCACCCGCTCATGCAATTGTGACATTTCTGAACCAAAATGGCATTCTGATGAGGGCTACTATGTCACCCCTGAGAGTTTGGGCATCACACAGATGGTATTTCTGCAGCAGAAGGACCTGGATGCAGATGCACAAGGGCGTATCACACTTGGCCCTCTTGAATGTGTGGAAACTAGTGAGTGTTTTAGATAATCTCTTGGTTATTTGTCCAAATTGAAATCTTATCTATGACTTTGTAAGAGAGTGTTAAGGTCCCATGAGTTTCCCCAATCAAAATTTGAATGAATATTTTATAGTTCACTGCTTCACTCATTTCACACTTCTTGGCTTGATCATCTTTAATAAGCTTAAAAATAGAAATTATGAAGCTTGCGCTTATATATTTTTTCCATTCTCCTGTTTCTTCATCTCTTGAATCTTAATATTCTTGGCATATTTTTAATCATCCTTAATCTCTCTTATATTTTGGAACAAATCTCACCCAGATTTGTGCTACAGTGTGAACACTGATATTTTCAGACACACAGAAGTATGTTGTTACATTCACGTCGAGCCAGTCGTACATTGAGGTGCCAGGGTGGAGGAAGGGAGACATTTCCTTCAGCTTCAGAACCACTGGAGAAAAAGCAATACTTCTTTACCAACCTCCCATCAGGCCCAATCATCCATCCTTCATGGTGGCTTTAACAAATGGTATGTTCAGATAGAGAGTGGGTGGATGAGTGAGTGAATAAGTGACCTAGTGAGCAAATGAGTGGCTGAATGACTTAGAGAATGCAGGTGAGCTGAGCTGGTGAATGTGCTAGGGCATGAATGGAAATTGGTGAGTAAATGATGAAGTGAGGTGGATATGTGTGTAAGTGATTTTGTGAATGAATATGTAGGGTTAGTGGATGAGTGATAATGTTGTAACTATACCTGACATGTTATCTGTTATCTCTGTTCCATATGTAAGAGCTGAAACTTACATGGTAATAATATATTACAGACTTCCAGTTAACTTTCAATTTCACACTTAACACTGGACACCAACGTGTGATGGAGATCAAGTCAGGAAGACAGCTAAATAGCGGGGAATGGCAAAAGATCTGGATAGACTATAATGAGCACCATGTTCGCTTCATGATTAATACAGACTATCAAATGGTGGACTTGCTTCCTGAAGAAGAATTTGGGCCATTTGAGGGCAGCATGTTCATTGGAGGAGCTACAGAGTATGTAATTTTACTTAATGTCCAATGTTTGTATATGTTTTCAATTTTTCCATTAGAGACCTGTAGAAAGCAATGAAATTCTCAGGAGGTGCAAAGAAAGTGGTGTCATATTGATGTAATATTAATTTTTATGTAAAATTAGCTGGAACTTTATTTCAAATGAAGAACAGAAGCGTGTTTTTAGAAGATAACTTTAGATTTGGGCATTGATTCTTCATCAAATAACTCTTCATATTTTGTTGCAAAAAAGTGGGGTTTTATACAGAATATATGTGCATAATGACACCTCATATCCTACATTTGTGGATAACTTTTTCTAGTGCCTTCTCTTTATTTGATGTAAAAAGAAAAGCACAACGTTTTCAAAGCATGCAAGAACTAAGTCATGATAGCTTATAAGGGGCAAGTAGCTAAAGCTTCAGATGTTCTTAACTTCAACAACAGATGGAGGTGTCTCTTCAGTTTTATGCTCTAGTTGCTACATTTATAATGGGAGAGGCTAGATGTACATCCAAAATGAGACTGGATGGTCTCCAGAGGTCTCCTGGTTATGCTGGTGAATGGAAAAATATATTAACAATCAAGTTCCTTCCGTCAAATGTGACACTTTTTTAAGTTTTCCACCTCGTCAGCACCTGCCTTACATGTTTCGGCTCACCACGGAGCCATCATCAGAGGCATTTATAGTAGAAAAAGAAATCACCAACACACAAAACTTCACTTTGTCCAAGATAGCCACGTTCCAGTTAATTAAAATAATTACAAATAGTTAAAATTACCCAGAATGTCGATTCACTAAAAGTTTTTCACACACCACAGTAGCTTCCTTATTTGATTCGTCGTTAATTCTGTAAAATTATGTTTCGTTATTTGAAGTAAGAATTCTTAAAATCCCTAGAATTCTTTCCCGCTTGGCCCAATCTTTTTGCTTCGGGATGTTGTTGGCGTGTGTTGTCTGTCGGTAGTTGATGTTGCTTGTCTGTGTGTTGTGATGCTTGTGTGTTCTTGACGGAAGGAACTTGATTGTTAATTGGTTAATGTGACGGACCAGAATGAAAGACCTTAAACTTATTGAAGCTNATCCCTACTGTAAATCAAATTTGATTGTCCACCCACAACATAACTAATTTAAGGTTTAAGTATTTATTTCATTGTTTAAAATGCTATGCCACATGTGGGCTATATATATTAACTAATGACAAATGACAAAGTGATCATGAAAATTAACAGAGTTAGAGAGGATATTTAAAGAAGTGATCATGGCCTGTTTTAAGGTACTGCTGTGTAATTTGCTTGGCTAGACTAAGGAAGGTCATGAAAATGTTAGCATAACTAATGTCCATACAAAGGTTCAGACCATGTGTCTCCCAAATATGGATCCAAAGTATTCATGCTAAACCAGTTTGCTTGGTATCAGCAATATTAATGTTATTTTGTTCAGAAACATGGCTAACCCACTCTTCCCTTAATACTGTTGGAAACATTATGCTATAGTGCAGCAATTAGCACCTATACTTCATATCTGCAGCACACACTGTTTGAATCTCAACTAGAGGACTGATTGCCATAACTGAAGTTCTGTTATTTTTCTTTCTTCTCTCTGGTGAATATCAGGACAGTACTTTTATATGTGTCTAACCACTTCCTTCCCTATCCTTTCCATTTATTTTATATCATAGCTTCTTACTGTTGCTATATAACGTCTTCAATTGACTTACCTAACTCATGAGTGTATCACCATTCCTGAAAAGTTGGTAGTCATTCAGCTGGGTGGGACGTTCTTCACTTTAGTCAAAGCCAGAAGTTCATTATGTCTTCACACAGTCTGCCACCTAACCCTATTTTCAGCCAGTTTAATCCAGTGGATTATCTCAGATAACCGGGATTATTTCTCTAAAATCAATTTTAACATTATCCTATGATCTACACTTAGATGTTCCCAGTGGTCTCTTTCTTTGAGTTTTTCCAATTAAACTTCTATATGCATTTCTCATTCTCTCTATGCATGCTACACATCTTGACCATCTCATCTTTCTTCAGTTAATTAGAGGGCACATGAAGCTGCTTATTGTGTAAGTTTCTCTTCAGTTAGCACAATGATGATAAACAACCCATAATTCAACAATAATATGATTTTGCAATTTATAAATTTCTTATTGTTTTTCAGGGACCTCCTAGGATCCAGCTCAGTACAGCAAGGGCTTATTGGCTGTTTCCGTGGGCTGGTGGTGAATGGAGAGATCTTGGACATCTACTCATATATGAGTGTGCACTTATCAGAGATCATCAAGGACTGCAAGCCATCATGTGACCCCAGCCCATGCAAGAATGGGGCAAAGTGCAAAGAACTGTGGAGTACATTCCAGTGTGTGTGCAAGAACCCATGGGCTCATGTTGGCACATATTGTGAGACCAGTATGTTCTTGCTGTGGGCAGATGCCCTAAATTAGATACACAATCTATTATCAAGGCTGATGATAGGGGAGGAAACTTGAATAACCAGGGATGAAGATAATCTGAAAATACTGTATGTGAGGCAAAAGAGAGCAATTGAAGAGGCTCTTCACATGCATAAGATTGCTGTTCTAAAATTAAAACTTTTATTTTCCAAGTATCAACACGTTTCTATTCCTGTTTATTTGTGTGTCTGTCACTCATTAACTTAGTATTATCTTTGTTCTTAAAATATTTGTGATTAAATTTGTAATGTATGTAAGGGCGTGAAGGTGTACTCTACTCAAATACACATATTTACCAAATGAGTTCATTTATAGTTTCCTTACATCATTGGCCTTGAATTTAATTTACTGAACACACGAATTTATTGCTGTGAAGTTTATCATGCTGTACATACCAGACTGGACAGATCCAGAAATTACTTTTGCATGTGTATTTAATTACACATTCACCACACAAAGAACTGTATTATAATGAGGACTTTTTTTGTATGATGGATCATTTTTGGGGAAAAAAAGATGTATTTTACTTGGATCTTGATATTAGATAGTGGTTGTACCCAGTTGATATGAACTATAATTAAATTTGCTTGACAACGTTTAGTTTAGAACCCCCTTTTTTTGTTAGTGGGGTGGGACTATGTCCCTTGTACTGCGGCTACTTCTGGCCTATTGTACCAGCCCCAGATGATAGGTGAGGGTGATTGTGGAGCAATTGGTGGAATGAAGATTGGCTGGGCACAAACATCAGTACTGTATTCATATTAAAGCCCATTTTCTCTGGAAATTATGCCTTGGTTGAAATTTTGTTAAAGAAAATTTTTGTTTGACCATTCATCAAGGAATGAGAAGCTGAATTCCATAGGCACGTATATCCATACTTGTTTCCTTATCAGATTCAACTGTAATTGCATCATTCTAGCTTGTAAACTTAAAATTCTTAAGAGTAGTATCCATATATCTTACACACCACAATTCTCAGGCATAACTTCTAGGCAAAAGTGCATAAATTACACAAGTAAAGGTTGTAATGTCAATGATAATACAGTCAACTCTCGATTATCCGGGCTAATGGTGGGGATGGAAGTCACGGTTAATCGAAANATATTAGAAACAGTCTCTTGAACTGTAGCCACAGTTTTTATATTACTGTCATCCTCATCTTTATATATTACTACAGAATTTAATATTAATAATGATCTTTCTGCATCAGATATAAAGGAACTGGCTGCTTTTATTAGCCCCTTCTCTACCCTCATTGTGTCCATTCACTATTCACACTCAAGAATCAGCTATTCTAAAGCAAAATTGAAAATGACAAAATATTTCCTTAACTCAGATCATAGATTTTCTTGGTCTGTAAACAGCTGATATATTGCTTGATGTACCCTCTGATCTTTCCTTTAGCAACTGCTGAATGTAGAATATCTGGTCAGTCGTTGATCTGTTGCATCAAAATCCTTTTCAACTATATATGGAATTATCTTTGCAAGAAGTATATTTGAGAAATTTTCCTCCCAAAATATCATAAAAAATAAGTATTTGTTATCTATAAAAATGTAAGGATATCTTTTTTTACTATTTGAATGCAAAATAATTAGGTTCTTTGAGGAATTTATCACCATTTGTACAGAATGCATGTTTTAATATTTGAATTACTGAAATATTGAGTTATTCAGAAACTGACTTATCTACTGCTTGATTCATCTACAGATATCAACATTGAGGGACTGACCTTCCTGTCGAGGGAGTCCTTCCTCAAGAAGAATTACCTGGCGCGCACGGCAGATAATGAAAGGCATATCATGTTACAACTCCTGAGTGAGAATATCCTTTTAAACTTGCGTACATACGATCACAGCTCCTTGTTACTGTATGCCAATGACCATCTCAACAACTTTGTACAACTTCACATTCAAGATGGGAAATATATTGTGTTCACATTCAACTCTGGCAGCAAGATACACAATATTACTGTTGAGTACTCTGGTAAGCACCATAAGCACCATAGAGGTTAGAGTTGTGTTCTTTCCAAAATGTTGTACTTATCTCTTTAATTAATTGGTTACATATTCCAAAGGAACACCATTAATACCAAAGCTCTCCGTTGAACATGATCTTGAGTCTGTTCTATTTACTTCCTGAAGATCCATCTTAATGTTATCATCTTTTATCCTCTGTCTTCAAGGTGGTCATTTATATGAAATTTGTCTACTAATGTTCCCTAAATACTCCTTGTTTCACTTGGTCCTTTCAAGGATCAGATTATATTTAAACTTCAGAAAATGAGTTAATTTATGAATAGGAGAAGAAAAGTGTAATCCAGTGTATACTGTAGTTTTGCGTAATGGAAAAATATATACAGTAAAAGTCCTTCCATCTTTTGGCTGTTTCAAATTATTGTTGGTAGTCAAAGCTTCCCCAGCAGAGCACTAATTTTCTTAGAATTTACTTCTGTGTTACTATTCCTTGTTTCAGTAAAAATGTTGGTGCAGAGACCTGTAGGATGTCAAGCTCAGGCTGCTCTTAGAAAGTTAAACCATTTTAGACTATATGCAACACTTGTGTTAATATTCTGTCATCTTTTGAAGATATCTTCTGTGATACACTATAAAAACCAATGTGAGAGTGTCAAGCATGATAACGGTTTTGAATTAGTTGGAAAAATATTGAAGAACAGAACTGTGGATCACAGTAGTGTCCCAGAATTTACCTAGGGGACTGAGGAAGAAAATGAAACATCTTGATTAGGATAATTGGTCCCTTATTTGAGATGTGAACCAAGGTTCAGCTGAACATAAGACAGGAGTGCTGACCATTACATGTAGCAATCTGGCTTAGAGACATGCCATAACTATAAAAATGAGTTGCAATAGCTCAGGGCTTGATTCTCAGCTAGGGCATAATTACTGTTCATGCCACTCTGCCCAAACTGTCCATGTTGCCCAGTAGCCCTACACAGTGGGCAGCAAGGGGCTGTATACCTAGGATATAGCAACTGGATTGTGAACCTGACTTCACATCTTGTCTGGTGCCTAAGATGAAGATGTTAGTGATTTGCCTTCATGCCTCAGATATGCTTTCCTGTCCTGATGATTAGGCAAACCTTCTGTGTGTTATTTCTAATAATTGTTTTGTTTAACTACAGGAGTAAGTGATGGACAGTCAGTTCAAGTGGCAGTGATAAGAAATGACAGAGAGACTGTTTTGCATGTCAACAACCAGAATGGTTCAATACCGGAAACTGTACAACTCTTGACCAATTACTCTAACAAGCCTTGGATTAACCCTGATAAAGGTAAAACATTAGCTGTGAATTGCAAGTGATGCTAGAAATGAGCACTTGTATGGTCATGTGCAAGCAATGAATTATTTTAATACTTCAATGAGTTCTGGGAGTTAGTTGAAATTGGCTGTCTTCATCTTCTTCAGCTCATAATCTTCTTCTGCATCATCATCAGCAACAATAATAGCAACAGTGACACTGTCAATATTGTCCTCATTGTCATAGTCCTTTTTATCTTCATCACCATCACCATGATCATGATCATGATCATCATCATCATCATCATCATCATCATCATCATCACCTTTGTCTAATCATGTTGACTGTGCAACTTAATTCATTTGCTGGCCTCAAAAATACGTTTCCAGTGCCTCCTTTTGCTTTCAAATACTCTTTGTGGTCTAAGTTGATATTGCAATTTCATGCTGTGTTTGGCTACTTGCTGTTACCCATTTTACATCGAAAAGAGTAACATATTGAAATTAACTTGCTAAGGTAACCTCAGAATTAGAAGTCCTTGTAAGAGTGAAAGTAACATATGAACAATAATGTTGGAAGTGGAGGTGTAACAGATATCTAAACAAAGAAGTGAGAAAATCACTGCAACTCCTATAATCAGACCAAGAGTTTCATGGTATTTTTTCATGCAATCCTTTCAAAGATTATTTAGTTGCATGCTAATTACACTCTGCTGAGTGTATTTTTCACTGTTTCATACTGAAGTGATTTGTGTGGCAGAACTGAATATTTTATTAATAACATTGAAAACATTAATTTATATTCCTGTTCTGTTAATCTTCCATCAAAACATCTGTCTCTGAACATTTTGGAGTATTAGTAGTACATGTTTTATGCTTAATTTTTATTTTCATAATTTAGAGGTGTTGGCCCCACAGAGGCCTCCAGCACCCCCAACCGAGTATTTTCAGTTAAACTTGGGAGGTTATGATCCAGATAACTTGATAGCAGGCAGCAGTGCACCAACCTTGCAAGGCTATGTGGGCTGTATGCGGGGCCTGAAGATTGGTGATCACCTGTTTGATCTCTCCTTGCAGGTCACCAATGAATCTAAGCCAGGTATGCAGAAAACTTCTCCTGACCCATTATCAGATTATACTCTACACACTGATTTAGGGCATGCATTTATACTGCAGGTATTAGGCATTTGTGCTCGAAGTATTGTGAAGAATAGATTTTCATATTGGCAAAGAAGTTAATGTTTAAAGAAGAACTGCTGAGATGAATATGTACAGTAAGATTCCATTTTAATTTCTGTGTGTGGAACAATGAGTTTGAACATTAAACTGAATAAAACTTTAAAAGGGGGAAATTTATTGCTGATAATGGCATTGCAGTAGATACGTAAGTTGGATGTTATATGGTGAAGAAATGTGGAGAATTATTAAATGAGATTTTATTGTATAGTTTCGCCATAAGAGATACAGTGAGAGAGAGACCTGTTAACCTGATTCACCTGGCCTACAAACCATTCTATCAAGTCTGACCTCTCCTATCTCTCCATGTTTGATTTGGCTTGACTGGCTTGGTTGAACTGACTGAAAGAACCCTATGCCATCTGTTGACAGACTCACCAAACAATTGACTGTCAGACTTCCCAGTGGACTGACATGCTGACTGACAAAACCCATAATTGGCAATAGATATTCTCTTGAAGCAGGTGAGGATATATCTTTTCTCAATTTATCTTTCTGCTTCTAAAGACTGACAAAGAACGCTGTAAATTTATCTCTGCATGCTGTTTTACGAATTTTCCAGACATGATCGCAGGATGCAAAATGAAATGTGATGACCAGCCATGCAAGAATCAAGGAATCTGCATAGAGGACTTCCAGAAACAAGAAGTTACCTGTAACTGTGAGCGCACATCTTTCTATGGAGATTTTTGTGATGAAGGTACCTCATTATTGTGTGTTCTCTATATAAGAGGGTTATTAGGAAAGTAACCTCTGGTGAGTTCTTAATAAAACAAGCAATGAGAAATATAAATTTGTTATATGCAAAAAAATAATATGTATGTACTTGAGCTACTTCTAAACGTAGTCACTGCTGGAATTGAGGCACTTATCATTTTGGTGAATAAGTTTTTCTATGCCTGTGAGCTCAGCCACATTTCGATACCTTCCATCAACACATTATTGTTGAAGTGCTGTGATCCCAGCAATCAGTGCTTCAGGTAGGAAAACGCGTGGTAGTTGCTCAGAATGAAATCAGGGCTGCAAGGAGGGTGGTCAGACAACTCGAACTTGAAATGCTCCAGCAGTGCTTGAATGCGAGAAGCTGTATGCAGATGCGCATTGTCATGGAGGAGCACTATACCGGATATCGGCATTCCATGCCTTTTGTTCTGAATGGGCCTATGCATTTTTTTTTATTGTTTTGCAGTACACTTCTGATGTTATTGTGGTCCCTTTTGCATGAATTCCACCATTGGCACTGCTTTCCTGTTATAGAAAATTGTTGCCGTCAGCTTTCTAGCAGGCAGACGTTTGTTTAAAGTTTTTCGGTTTGTTTGGTGAATTTGTGTGCATCTACTGCTTTGACTTCTCTTAGGTTTCATCATTTGAAAATGAAACCCAAATTTCATCAACTGTTAGTCATACTATGTGACTGAGAAATTCATCACCATATTTGTTATATTGCTCTAAAAAAAAGCAAAAGCCGAAGCCATTCTGTGTGTTTCATGGTCACCCGTGAGAATTTTCGGAACCCATCTTGTTCAAAACTTGCGGCAGCCTAGCCTATCTGTTATAATCTCATGGAGGCGCGTTATATTTGTAAAAATTCACATGATAGTTCCAAAATTGTGAAGTGCCCTCTTTCACAAATTTTTTGGTCAACACTTTGAAGAACATCATTAGTCACTACAGATGGCTGACAACTTCGCTCCTCATTGTGAACATTTGTTCATCAATCTTTGAACATTCTTCATTGCCTTACAGTTCCTTTACTCATTACGCTTTGGCTGTAAACTGCACATAATTCATGATGGATATCCACAGCACTCATGTTTTTAGCATGAAGAAGTAGATGACAGCAGTGCGAATTTCGCTGCTGGCAGAATTATAAATCACAGGGCACATCATAAATCACTTTGTAGAGACAAGAACAAACACTAGGTGACCAATTATATGATGGTTTACGATACAGTGAGTCATGTGACACTGCCCTGCATGCTCTAGCTCTCCCTCGCTCCAACATTAGTTGCCTAAAATAAGCAGAGGTTATTTTCTGAATAGCTCTTGTATTTGGGAAATTGAGTCTGTTTGGGAATAAAGCATTGAGGAAGATATGTGGACCTGAGAGAATTATCAAATCTAGTTTCGCTGAATGAAGATTTCCTATAATTTCCAGGTTATTTAATGGACTTTCCAGTACATGAGAAAGGTTGTTGTCACTAAACAGGTGGTTAACAGTGAAGTATCTGATGCACATATCTGCATCTAGTTATGATATATTCTTTGCTTTAGAGCTGACATTTGAATTCAGAAGCATGATGAGAAGAGAATTGCAGTCGTGGGTCCTGACAATTATTTGCCACATTTCTGATTAGTAATTCAGAGTCTTCACGAATGTATAGCGCTGATTTTTCCCAAAATTGAGCATTGTGTGAAACTAGAAATTTTGTATTTTTATTTATGTAATTGTGTTGTATAGCAGAATTGTGCAGGTAATTGAATTTTGATGAGCTGTTTCCATCAAAACCCATGACCAGCACCATTCTTGGACACAAGTATTTTGAATATGAACATGAAAGTTTCAGGTATACAGAATTTTTGTTATATTCTACAAAAAATTGGATGTAGCAGCATAATCTAGGCTGTAAGATGCTTGCTGTAGCTCTGTGTTTGCTTCTCCCAACTTCATAAGTAACTAAGAACATGAAATAATGCTTTTCTTTTTCCCACAGAGAAGGGTGCAGATTTTAGTGGTGATACGATGTTGCGACGGAAATTTATTCTTAATGGGCCTGTGGACCAAATCAAAGTGCACCTTGCTTTCTCAAGCACTGATATTCGGCAGAAAAACACTGGGTTGCTGTTACTGCAGACAGAAAACAAGTGAGCAGGTCCTTTATGAATGTCATAACCTGTTGTAGTATATAGCAGATGGAAAACAACTTCAAAAGTCCTCCCAATCTCCATTCAATATATTTACCTCAGTTTGACCTGGAGATTAAGATTTTAATATATTATTAGTTAATATGTGACTATGCATTCTGTCAGATCATTCTATTGCAATGACATTCAGTTGGCAGATGTGACCAGGAGCAAATTTTTAATTAGATTTTCATTTCACATTATCCAATAAGATGCTAATACTTGGGATGGGTGTTGAGTTGTTGAGCTCAAGAGCATGACTAGAAAAAGGGCAGGTGTACACAAATTAAGTGAACATATTATATGTAATTTGTGGAATTTATTTGCTGCAGGCAGAGTTACTACCTACTCGTGGCCTTGACCAGTGAGGGAGAGCTGATATTTGAGGAGGATGGAGAGGGATCAGCATCTGGTGCCCGTGTATCTGATCGGAATTTCTTGAATGGAGCAAGACATTCTGTCTACTACCAAAGAGAGGGTGACAGTGCCATGTTACTGGTAAGGTGCATTTCAGTAATTTAATTCTTTTTCAGCTTTGTCAGAGATTAGATCTAATCCCTTTCCTTTTAATTCCATTTGGCAACAATTTCTTCTTTTCCATTCTTTACACTGGAAAATTTGCTATAGTTATCAGTGGTTAAGTGACTAATTGTATATGTACATTTCATACCCAGAATGCAGAAACTGCACAGTTAGGAACTTGTAATTTTTGCTCATAACAATATTATTAAGGTCAGTAAACAAAGGTGGATGAAATGGGTGATTTATGTAGCATGCATGAAGAAGATGAAAAATGCATATGTAATTTAATATGATAAACCTCAGGGGTTAGGTGTGTCCCTTGTCACCATGGCATGGCGCGTCCTCAGGTTGCAGATGGAGGAGATGCCCTCCGGTTGTGGAGGGAAGCTGCGAATATATTGAATAAGCAATCACGGACAGCCAACGAGGTGTGGTCCTCCAGCTTGGGGGTTGAGTGTGGGGCTAACATCTCCTCACCATAAGAAATAAGCTTGTTATGAAAATGTTAAAAAATCCTCAGACCTGGACGGATCCTCTGGATAAACTACCTAGGCTAAAGAAAATGGATATGACTTCTCTTGGGTAATGCTTGCTACCATTTAGTCCAGAACCTTTTGTCTTCTTGTCTACTGTCCAAAAACATAAAAATTAGAATATACAAAGCTATAATTTTGCCTCTTATTCTGTATGGGTGTGAAACTTGTTCTGTGACATTAAGGGAGGAACACAGACTGAGGGTGTTTGAGAACATGGTGTTGAGAAGAATATTTGAACCAAAGAGGGATGAAGTGACAGGAGGTTGGAGAAAACTGCATAATGATGCACTTCATAACTTGTACCATTCTCCAAATATAATTAGAATGATCAAGTAAGGAAGGATAAAGTGGGCAGGGCATGTAGCACGAATGGGGGAGAAAAATGCATATAGGATATTGGTGGGAAAGCCAGAAGGAAAGAGACCACTCGAAAGACCAAGGCATAGGTGGGTGGACAATATTAAAATGGATCTTAGAGAGATAGGCTGGGATAGTATGGATTGGATTGAACTGGCTCAGGATAGGGACCAGTGGAGGCTCTTGTGGAAGCAGTAATGAACTTTTGTGCTCCATAAGATGCTGGAAAATTGAGTAGCTCACATTTGAGTTCTGTTTAATACTGTTTAGTCTTTGGTAAGGCATTGTACACTCCAGTTGTTTAATTCTAATGTGACAGTTCGCAACATTAGTCTTGTAATTTCTCACATTTATGAGGAGGTTTTTACACTAGTAGATGGTATTATGACACGTAGGTAACAATAGACAATAGACAGTAGTTTAAGTAATGCATAGGGATATAAGTGTAAAAATATTGCTGAAAATTCTGCCAGTTTAGCAAAATTTGCCAGGCTGTAGGAGTAGTCTCATGAATAGGCAAAATTTGCCAGGCTGCGGCGGTAGTCTTGTGTATTTTGAACCTTGTCTGACTGTGCTATCAGCCATATCTGTAATATCAAAAATAACATTCAAATAATTACTAGTTGTTGTGCTGCATTTGCACTACTAAATACTGATCAGATTGGTATAGCAGCAGAACTCTATATGTGTGTTTGGAAGGTAATTTGATTGAATGTCTGCCGGATTACTACTTGCTATAATCGACATTTTTCATGGTCTTTCTCAGTCTCTTCGGCCGAATGCTGAGAGAGTATCCTGATATGTGCTACAGCCACCTGCACTCATATCCTTATGCATTCAGCATTCTTCATTATATCTCAGCTCTTTCACTGCTAAATGACCTCTCAAGGTGAATAACTGTCATTAAACTAGGGTGATTCAAGGTACTGAGAGTGGACTCAGGTTACAGTTTGATACCATTGTTGCTTGCAGATTGACCGTGAACCAGTACCACTTATGCCTATTTCTTTCCTAAGTCGTTCTGATGTGCCAGAAGGGGATCAAGGAACCAATGAGGTTCAGGTTGGAGGACTTAACACCAGTGATCCACGCTTTGCAGTTTATAAGAACTACAAAGGTTGCTTGTCAAGTAAGTATGTACCTCCTGTATGTCATGTAATTCTTTATCTGCAAATGTTTAGAGGTAGTTAATAATTTTTATGTATCCCTTACACAATGTGCAGGAATTGAACACATAATGAAAATGTCATGCCTGTCTAAATGTTGTATCTGTCTGTCCAGTCTCTGAAACTACTCAATGGATAGTGATGAAATTTTGTATTGTGGTGTATACCAAAATGGTCGAGTGAGTGTAATTTTGGTTAGAACTGGAATGGTGAAATTTCTACTTAATGTGAAGCTCAATCAGAATTTCATAAATTTTCTCAGTAATTACTGATAATACAAAATATTGATTGGTGACATAAACTGTAGATCATGTTCAGTTCTGCATTTTTCAATATTAGAAACATTTTTATTATGATGTATAGTTAGCAATATATATATATAAAAAATTTCTGATCCTGTGCAGTGTGATATCAGTAAAGCTTTGCAGCATACACGGACCAGAAAATAAGTGCAAAACGAAATTTCAAAGAATGCATTTGGGAAACACATAGTTGTTTTTGTGGTATATATACATTTCTACACGGGGTGTGGGGGGGAGTTTACTCTTAGACTAGCTGTCATAGCTGACATGGCACTCTTCTCCAAAAGAACTGGTACAGTAGGCAATAAATTACAGTCCTCTTTACTGCTCCTGCTGAACTTGTATTATTTTGTAGAAGAGTTTCAAAATGACGGCCCTCTTCTTCTAAGCATGCCTACAATTATGAGAACACATTTCTAGAAACATGAGGATTAAAAGTGGGTGATTGCAGAGGCCACTGTCCTCAATGTATGACTTGTTCTCTTTTAAGGACTTCATCTAATGAGTTGACAGATCTTGTTGCAGCGTTATCTTGTATAAAGTGCCTGTACAATTTTTCATCATTAGGCAGTCATTGGGGAGGGGCGAAAGAATCGGTTTCACATAATGTTAAGAATTTATTGTTTCATGAGAATCACGGCCCCATTATCTTCTGTGAAAGCTGTACTTTCTGTCAGTCCACACTGAAGAGCCTCATGACATAACGACTTCTTTGGGCTTGCTTCTAATGGAGCACTGTTGTCAAGTTTTTCTTCAGTCAGCAGAAGCCTCTTTCAAAATTTATTTTTTCCAGCACAGATCCCATAGAACATAATTTTGTTATGATATTGTAAATTGTTGCTTTACATGGCACTGTACTCTGGATACTTCCTACAAAGCTTTATATGGCATTTTCTCTGTGAAGAATGTTATATAAAGGTATTGTATATGAATTTCTGTTCAACACTGTACTTCATTTCTGAACACTGCATTTCACAACACTAGCAGTTGTACTTGTACATATCTCAAGAGCAACTAATCGACTAATCATGCCATAGTGTTGACATTGGGTGACTAAGCAATGGTTCAGAAGCCAGCAGTGGACAGGCATGGGAGGACAAATTTTTAGTTGGTCAGTCTAAGGATACTATACCCTTTCTCTACTTTTGTTAGTGTCCTGAAAGAACATAATTCTTTCTTCAGAAACCTAGCCTCAAGTTTTATGTCTAAGGTCCATTGACCTTGGGCTTAGTCACTGAACATATTCCGAGATCTCTGGACAGCCTTGAAGGGAATGTTCAGTTATTAGTAAAATACTTAAGGAATTATGGCATCCTGATGATTTATCAGTATGTTTCTTTCAGACGTTTATGTGGAAGTGAACTCAGATGTAATGAAACCCTTGGAAGAATATATGCTGTTTACCAAGACTGGCAGTGAGAAGGTGAATGTGACAAATGCTTTGGGACTGAGGAGCGCACAGTGTGCTTTCTTTGATGTGAGCCACAAACCCAAGCCGAGCCCATCTCTCAATATCAGCCTGGTGAGTCAGCATTCTCAGATACTGAAGAAGATGAGAGAGTTGAGAATCTGGTAGTTTAGCAAGTATTTCCATTATTGTAAACTTGGCAAACTGGAAGTGTTCTAGACTTCTGGTATTATCATTGTCATGGGTGTGTATATCTGTCCTGCCTAATCACTTTCAGATAAGTTGGTAGAATTTTACTAAATTTCACATGTATATCATATCTTTAGAAATCTCCATGGCTCATAATTTTTAACTTTCTTCAGCAACAACACCAACATTGTAGTAATGCAGCAGTAATGTGTTCTGGGCACTTAGCAGTACAGCAGTGGTGTATTCTGGGGACTGAGAGGCCTGGAAGGCCATCTCAACAATAATATTCTTTAAATGAAACTAAAGATTGCGCTTAGAACTGTGAAATAACAATATGGTAACTTTACACTTTTCTGAATGATGAATAGAACAGCAGCTTGTCATGTGAAGTCTGTATTGCAGCGTGTTAACAAAGATATTGTGTAAGGTAGTGTTATTAATGATAATGAAAAAATCACTAATCCATTGAAACTTTAAATTGCTCTGTGTCCATGACAAGTGCGTTCTCTGCCTTTTTAATGGTAAGGGTGTATAATTCTGAAGTTGTTTTCTTAGCAATATGCTTTGCTGTTCAAAATAACACACTAATGAGGTTATTACAGGTATTGTGTTATTAATAATTTACCAGTAATTACAAGAATGCATTGTATTATTATTGTGATGTTATTATTTCTTTGTATTTACTATTTCACTTAGTGTCTGGTGTTTGGTGTTCTATTTTTAAACTGTAGTAAAATGTTGGAAGCCAGGATACCTCAGTCAGAATAGTGACTGGGCTGTGGCTGCATGACAGGAATAGGAGTTCAATTCCAAGCAGAACAAGAAAGCTTCCTCTTGTCAATAGTGCTAAAAGTGGCCCTGGGGTCAACTTAATTTCCTGTCTGATACCTGTGTGGGTCCTTTCCCCAGAGTTTAAGCGGCTGGGACATAAAGCTGACTGCTCTTCTCCATATTGTATTGAGATTAAGGATGCATGGAGCCAAGCCTCCACTATCCCATATGTCTTCATGGCATGATTTAAGCATAGGAAGAACTTACCTCTTTTTATTTAGTAAAATGTTTCCGATAAAAAATGAAAAAAGAATATTTTGTTAAGTAACGAGAACTTTGCAAGAAAACTCACATTACAAACATTGAGGACTGACTGATGCTGGTTGGTTCAACTCTCATCTAATTTAAATTCTTTTGTAGTGCAACAGAAAAGAACTTGCCATCTGCTGAAAAACTAGACTCTTCACTTTGTTCTTGGCCTCCCAGATGGTTATTTATTCATTGCCTTTGTATCTGAAAGTGTCAGAGGAATTCTACTGCTGTCTGTATTTCTCACATGACCAAATCACTTTACTCTTAATATAGAAAATTTTTCCTGTCATGCTAAATACCATGGTTTTAAATTTTATGTATTCTCTATTTTTTAATATCGTCAGGAAACTTCGAATGGTCATTTGAAATTTATGCTATACAGTATCCAGTGAGTACAGTAACTGCAAAGGACCTTCAGGCAGAGGATCAACTATATTAATTTTTTCTGTTAACCAGGGCACAGACAAGACTTGGATTTTGGATTCTCCAATCAAAATTCCCTATGAATCGTTGTGGTCTGATGTGTCCAGCGAGGAAGATGGACCAACAAGAGGTAAGTACCAGGAGGCGGCACACTTAAGTATAGCAGTGTTCCTGTGACCAGTAATACTGGCAATCATTTATTTCTTTCTACATTTTCTCTACCCTCCCGGTACATCTTAATGGGTGCTGAAATTTTAAAGGAGTTTGTTTCAGAAGATAGAGCCTTTGATTATTTAATTAATCCTTCCCAGCTTTGTAGGAATGACGGGACTGAAATAACGTGGATGGAAGTGCTAATGGTCTGTTTCAAGGTACTCTCCCAGCACTTATCTGAAAAACTGAGGAAGGCTACAGAAAGCTTTGATTGGAACAACTAGGTTTCAGGCTGAGTTCTGAATCCCGAAATGCTTACCTATCAGCCACAGCACTCCATTGGCTTTGAAGCTTGAGCTGCAATGATAAAGCCCTGTGGGGCCCAGTATTCCCATACCCACTCTTTTGGTAGGGGCACAGCAGTAGACACCACAGGAACTAAAAGAAATGTATGTGAAGATGAGTACATATTATTTGCCAGATGTATTTGCACATCATGATTTTGCCTGTGTTGTACTTCATTGTAAAAGTTTGCTTATATGTGGGTCATTTGTGTCAGGAAGCCTCAAACCAGCTTGTACCATCAAGTGACTTTCTTTAATTCTAGTTATGTTTCTCCAAGAAATTGTAGAACTTCTTCCTTTTGTAGTAATTAGTGAAATTGATATATATGAATCCTGATAATCAAAGCAGTTCGCTTCAAGTAACAGAAATATGTTACAGATAACACCAACATGCAAAGGAAATTCCACTTTTTTCCAAGTTCCCCAAATCCTATATGAAGGAAAAGGCTTTTGTTATGGGATTATATTGATAAATTAGCTTTCTAAATTTTCAAACCCTGTTTTAACACAGATTCTCAAGACTGCTTGATATAGGTTAGCCAGAATGACTTCCTAGAAATGTGATCCTCACATGGAGTACCAGTTGTGTAGCATATATTTCCTTTGTTTCAGTCCTCTTCCTTGTAATGTGTGGTATGTTTGTGCTCATTGTGCTATGTTCATTGTGTGAAGTCTATCGATCATATCGTAAGCACAAACGGAGACGAGAGGAGGAAGCAGATGCTTCACTAATGTGGCGCCATGGAGGACAACCTGCTAAGTATCAGGAGCCATTGCTCAACTCCAGTATCAAGATGACAGCATATAAGAATGTGAGTTGGCATGGAATGACCAATACAGTGTCACTTGAGTGGACATCGAAATTTGCAGTACACATATTTTCTAAGTGTATTCTTTGGGTTTTGGCATATTTAATTGGTTTTGATATTAATTTATTATAGTAACAAAATTGATAATTACAGAATCAATCAACTACATAGATTCTACATTGTATGTTGATGAGAAAGCTTTTTGGAAATTCATAATTATAATGCACAAGGCCATAATTCATGTTACCTTGAAACCTTGAAGCTAATCAATTAGTTATCTAATTAAGTGTCTTTATGGCGATGTTAAGTTGTTGACAGTTGCTCTGTCAGTCGAGAAATTCCATGTTTTTATTGAACCCAAATCATCATTATCATCATCATCATCATCATCATCATCATGCTTACTAAAGCTTATCATTATAGCTTATCTTCAGGCAGATGAATCCATTCCACACCTCCATTGGGGGTCTTCCAAGTAAAATTTTGTATGCACTTACTTCTCCTAAGCATGCTGGATGAGCGGTGTATAGCGTTTTCTTGTATTTAGTTAAATTTACAGCATATTAAAAGATTTCTTAATTGATTGTTATAGGCCTAGTGAGGTCTATGTTTTATGAGTGTAGCAATTTTTATATCATGTGCCCTTACTGAGGCATTTGATAACTTTAATTTGAGCCTTATGGAAAATAAAGATGATGCTGGGTTTAGATGGACAAAAATTAGAATTTCATGTTCAACTTTTAGGGGAACTGAGATAGCTCAGTCAGTATGGCGACAGGCTGGACAGTCAGGGTTTGATTCTTGGGAGGGGGCAAGAAATTTTTCTCCACTTCACAGCATCCAGACCGGCTCTGAGGCCTACCAAACTTCCTATCTAATGGGTACTGGGTTCGCTTTCCTTGGGGATAAAGTGGCTGGGGCATGAAGCTGACTACTCACTTCCATCTAGTGCCAAGGTCAAGAATGGTGGAGCTATACCTTCATGACACACTGCTTAATTAATTGAGCACAGGGACAACTTTACCTTACCTACAGATTCTAGGGTATAATACCACAGTACCAAATTTTACACAGACCCACTGAATGGGATACTACTGGAGATGAAAAATGCAGGCGAATGTGACCTTCACATGAAGTGTTCATTTCATGCACTTTATACATGAGACACATAAATGAGTAACGTCATTTGGAAACACTGTATAATGTTCATCAACCTCTGACTTCTCTTATGTAAAATGTATGCTGTGGATATCCTCATGCAAGGCTAGGCACACATGAGAAAATGATATTGAAATGTATCTCAGGGAAATGAGATGTGTTGATGTGGACTGGCCTGCATGAGCTCTTGATAGATTCCAGTGGCGGGCTTTTCTAAACACGGTAATGAACCTTCAGTTCTAGGAAAGTGGGTACTTTCAACCAACCAAGCAACTGTCAACTCCCAGGAATGACTTTGCAGCAGATTAGTTGGTTGTTCAGTCTGTCAGTTGGCAGTTTTCCTGCCTGCCTGCCTGCCTGCCTGCCTGCCTGCCTACCTACCTACATGTCTGTCAGTCTGTAGTAAACAACTGAATTTCAAGACTGTTGCTCTGCACTGTTCATATGTTTGTTCCAGATCCCACAACAAGATATCAAATTGAAACCTTCTCTACACAGTTCAGAACAGAAGCCTAACTTAAAGAATGACTACAGACAAATACCAAATCCTGCATCAGCCAATGGAAGACCCGATGCAGGGAAGCCAAATAGTGTCAACAACAAACACAGTAGTGGTAATTGATTTCTGTATTCATCAAACAGCACAAAGGAAGAGTTGTTATGGGACATATTTAGGGTCTGTGTTCTCAGATTTATTAGCTTCCTTACCATTTGCCTGGACTTAAAGATTGACTGAGTTGTAGCTTATTTTATGATGGTGTTTCATCTGCATAGTTTACATGTATATATGATGTATGTTGGATTTGAGGTTCTTGCAACGGTGATACTGAAGAGTACTTTCTCCTGAGAACACCATGTAGTTCAAAGAGGGTCTGATGTTTCAGAAGGGCATATTGTTCCCCATTCTGAGGGTCAGAGAGTGTGCCAAGTAAGAAAGCAACAGAAGCAGATGGTCTCCGAACTATATATTGTTCATAGTATTTAATGTTACACATAGTACAGAGGAAAGGATTTAGAAGGGAGTGTGCATCGCCTATTAGACTGTGCTATCCTGATATACCACGAGAGGCTGGAGAAAATGCGAAGGAGTCAACAAGGATATTCAGCTGCATGGCTGAAATAAATTTGAATTGGGATGTGCTTCAAATATATAGAAGTTTAGAGCCTTGCTGTTGCACCAGCCTGCTTGATACTAAATCCGAAAGAGTGAGGTTCTCTTCATGATTTTAAGAAGTATGATCATTTTTTTATTAATGCCACTCTGATTCATCACAATCACCATTCTTTGTCACATGATATGAAATTTGTAACTAACAAACTTTCTGAATGGTAAGATTCTCATGTGTGCTTCATACTGCAATGGCTACAGTGAGTATTGGCAACCCATTTTGATTTAATTATTTAATATCTGGAAATTCTAAAAAAAATTACAATTTCTAGTTAGTTTTATGAATAATCAAAGATAGTAGCACATGAAAGAAGTATGAAACAAAGCATGTCTCATGTATATGCATCCTTACTGAAGTGACATGGAAGACAGTATTAGTATATAAGCTAGACTGCTTTCATTTGCATGTAATTGTGGTGCATGGCACCAAAGTGTTAATGTTGGTAGTACCTTTTTTTGTAATTTATTTAAGCTAAATTATCCAGTGACCTACCTTTGTTTCATGATTTTCTTATTTATCTCTCTCTTAACTCAGTGCCTTATCCCATATGAAATATTCTCTAGTCTCAACCCTTGTCTTTCTACCCTGAAGATGGAGGCAGCAGATTCCTCATATATATATATATATTCTGCATTGCAATTTGGAAGATCTTATATCACATTGGATGATGCAAAAAGGTTTTCTTTTACACCAGTAAAAGTGAGCAGCTCTGCAGATGTGTATGAAACTCATACATATAAACTGTGTAGAGCATCCCTAATTGTGCTACAACAAGATTTGTCCATTTGAGTTGATTCATTACACAGAAATAGATTTTCCATTATTAATTATAAAAAATGGGCCTTTCATTTATGATTCATTCACATTCTTTATCAGATTTGATGTTGAATTGAACCCCTGTTTTCTTGGATTATGGCTTCAGTCTTTCTTTTCTGTAATTGGTGGCTGATCATATGCTATTTTATAACATTAAAGCCACCTAGTTTTAATTTTTGTTGCAGTAACTACAGGGAATGAAAATGCTCTGTCTGGCATTTATATGCTAAATTTTTATTCTAAACACGATAATGCATTAGGTTTAATGTAGTGCTTACACAAGCCACATGCTTTGCTTGCTACCTGCTTCATACTTGTGTCTTTCTTGGCTTGCCCTTCAACCCTGAAGACGGAGGCAACATTTTCCTCCAAAATATCAGTTGACTTTCAACTGACTACATGATATTACATCGCAGAAGATAGAATATTTCATTAGTGATTTACATCTGGAGAATTTGATGGCCATCCTGTGGATATGACAGAGTTCACTGTAGTGTCATCCATCACTTTCAGAAACCGGGTAATATGAATGTTAACGTTCAGAATGGAAAATATTTCCCTGTGTAACAAATCAACCAAACTCAATAAATAAAAGTACTGTCTTTCTGGAATGTGATGCCATGAAGTCTGGAAGGTCATACCAACAATTTGGAGCAGCATACTGCATCTGTTTGCTGCTTTACAAGACTTGCTCTTTGACCCTTGAGATGGAAGCAGTACATTTCTCCGAAATGTTGGTAAACTTCCAGTAGATGACACAGCATCATATTCCAGAAGATGGTACTCTTCATAGTCACTATCCTGAGAACTACATACCTCATGTACATACTTAGGTATGCTCTGCACAACTCAACTGAGTCTCATTTAGATCAACAGACAGAGCTGTTCATTTTTATCATATTTTTAAAGTCAGTTTTATTTCCGTCATCCAATATGTTGAGTGCCATAAATCCCTAACACCTTATGTGCATTGTTCATCAGGTTATTTATATTAGTTTTCTTTGATATATTGAATTTCAGGAGCCAACCCAGACCAGGAACTAAACTGGGATCCAATGGCAGAAAAGACAGAACTGCTTCAAGATGTAAGTCAGTGACTGTGGTTATACTGCCAAGTTTGAAACTTTTAGTGCAGAAAGAGTGTAGCATGGGCATATCAAAGCTCAGGTGATTAGTTGCCAACTTCTTTCTTTAGTGGCTTGGGTTCAATCACAGGACAGTTCATGTGGAATTTGTGATTGACAAAGTGACACTCCAAGTATTGTGGTTTCCCCTGCAAATTCTCTTTCCACCAGATGCTGTGATTTGTCATTTGCCATATGGAGCTGATATAATGAGCCAATAATGAAGTGAGAAGGGAGTGCATAGGAGAATATTTGTAGCTAAGAAGATGAAGCAACAGGAGAACGTTGAAAATTATGTAATGAGTAGCTTAATTCAAGTTGATCTCCAAATATGAGGGGGATTAAATCGATGAGGATGAGGTTTTGGTGATATGGCATGCATATGGGATATGTGAAAAGCATATAAAGTTTTAGAAGAAAACTTCAAAATAGGAGGCCAGTTGAGAGACTTAGGCATAGATGGGAGGGTGATCTTGAAATGGATTTAGAGAATAGGCTCTGGGGGCATGGAGTGGATTCAACTGGCTCAGGATAATGTCCAGTGGCAGACTTTTGTGAAAAGATTGGAATTTGTTTGCTAACCTTAACTGTCCACTTTTGAACAGTGACGCTGCACTATGTGGTTAGAGGTTTGAACAAATGGATCCTACCACTTGCACCATTTACAGTATTTTGAATACAGTTTTAACATAAATATTCATAAGTTATTAAGGTTCTGTTTGTTTCCATCTTATAAAGCTTCAACTTTTTACATAAAAACTTTTTGATTGTTTATGTAGTCATGTACATACTATCTCTATGTGGTGTTACAGTCTCTAGAGGACATCCCAGAGAGCGTACATAACAGTCCTGATGAGGAACAGGGAAGTGAACGAGAGGATGACAATGTTCCGAACAAGCCAGTGAGTATGAATGGTGTGAAGATGGCTCCACTGTGCTCCATTAGTGAGGTTGCTTTGGATTCCTGTGACTGAACAATGTCACTTGTGTGGTCCCCTATGTAGGGAATTTTATGATGAATCATAAAAATTTAAAATTCTGAAGAAAACTGGAAACAGAGTTTGTTGTTTTGTCAGTCTCATTGTGATACAGAAAGTTTCATACAACTTCTGAAAAGCAACCTCAGTTACAGGTGATAGGATTTTATGTGGCGACTGATTGCATCAATTAACTGGAAAATAAAAATTGTTGAGATTTATTGTTATTAAAAGCATTAAATTTCTTATTAATTCATTTTGTGCAATCTTGTGAAATTTTGAATTCATATGGTTCATTATGAGATTTCATGAAACTGGAAGCCCCTCAAATTACCAAGAGCAGATAGGGTAGTAAGTGAATTGGTGAGAGCTGTGATCCAGATCAGGTATAATGCGTACCCTTCTGTTCCAAGATTGTCATTGTTTCCAGCTTTCTAACCTTCAGGCCAAACTGAACTCTGATACTACAAAGTTATTTTTAGGTGAAGGTAAAATTATTGTATTCATCAGTCATCACCACTCATTGTTGGCATCATAATAGTCATTATTATAATCATTATCACCACCACCCACCCACCCACCTCCATAATGATCATCATTGTATCATCCTTTGATGTTTCTAGTAGGGTGGATTGTCTTCTGACAAAACCTTCTCCATTCCCATATGCCCTCTCATAGGTCCTGCTTCTGTATCTGCTGTCTTTTATATCTTTTCTCACTTGGTCTCTGCTGTGTGCTTAATATCCCTAGCAATTGTTTATTCAGCATCTTCATTTATTACACTCTGAAATGAACATTGGTTTAGTCTATGTGGCTGGTTCCTCAGGTTCATAAAGTTTTCATGGAGTTCTTCTGTTTCTTGATCTTTCCTGTGTTTTGGCCTCCAGTATTGTAGTTTAAATACTCCACAGTAACATTATCTTCATGTCTTGTAATTTGCTTACATCTTTCTCAGGTTGTGCTCCGACTGTCATAAGAGGCAAGTAATGTTTTATACAACATAATATTCAAGCTCTTCTGAAATTTTCAAATTCCAAATTGTATTTTTTTAATTGTTTTGCAAAATACTCCCATGCAAGAAATTTCCCATTGAATCTAAAGCAGTCTTCAACCATCAAAAGATTAGGTTAAAAATTCTGGCTTAATAACCCTCTTTTGAAGTTTAAAGAACAATGCAGAATTACATATATAAGAAGGAAAAAAGGAAAGATGACACATGGAGAACTTTCAGAAGTATGCTGTGTATTTCTGAATGTGTACGGATCATAATTATATTGAAGAACTATACTACTTTATTTAATTACAAGACAGACATCATGTCCAAACTGTTGCATTTATGTGTGTTATAGAAAGTTTAATAGAAATGTTAGTTTTAATTTATGAAAGTTTCATAGCTCTTCATTCAGATTTTGGTCATGCTTATGTCCTAAAACCTTGAGTTCTGGTGGTCTGTTTGGTCTTTAGCACACTGACAATTCCGCCTTCAGTTTCTGGCTAAGTTTTCAGTTAAGGAACATTTTACAGAAAAACATATATCCTAAACTAAAAGCATAAACTGGTGTGTAGAATGTCCAGGAAATCTCTTGTATTTGTTTTTAATTTCTTAACCACTGTATCAGAAACACCAACAAACATTTTATAAACTTCAGTGTTTGAAACATAACTACCATGTTCTTGCCCTTTTTAGCTTACTTTGCAGCCAATGTTAGCTATAAGAGCTCAGTGTACAAACTGAAAAGAGTTTCCTCAATGTTTTAAAATTGAGATAGCTAAGATTTGTAGAATGTTCCCATATCAACACAGCACCTCATGGTATTTACATCAGAATAGCCAACATAGGTCTCTGCTTTATGTATCATTAAGTCTCTGCGTTTCTTAGATAATTTCCTATCTGCTCTTGACCAAGAACACACATCATTTGCACCTGTAATGCCTAACAGGAGGGAATTATGTTTTAATGCATGAGTGCCAAATGGTGTCACACAGTAAGTTACTTTGTTGACTGTTTGCTTATTGTTCGACCATGCAGATTTAAGGACAGTGAACTGCACGATTTTGTGTCTGCAAAATGTGACTTACATTGTTCTTATCAGTGTATATTTTATTTATTTTAAGTTTTGAGGACTGACTAGAAAAGTAATTAATTTTGTTTACCCTTAAATTTTGAGATTTACAGTTAAAGTTAGCTTCCAAATCTTTTACATGGTTTATACATTTTCTGATATAATAACTGAAATATTTCTCTCAGTTTCTGTACAGATATATCTGAGCTGTTATGCAAGGGACAGCCATGGAATAAGTTTACAAGACATTTATCTTGAAGTTATTAACTTAATCTTCAATTCCGATAACACAATGTTCCTTTATGAATTATACAAAGATGATGTACGAGTATTATCCAGTTGAATACCTATTTCAAGACTTATGACCTGTATACTTCTCTGATTTTCCTTAGCATAAGTGATTCACTTTAAATCAACTTCAGTTATGATATTTTCTTGTCATATTGGGATAATAATGATCTGAAATTGGACCAGTGTGAGACAGTTGTCTGCCAAGTTGGTTTTTTCTTTGCTATTTGTAAATAGGTTACATTTGAATGTTTTGTCAGAATAAGGATGTAGCTTCTATTGTATAATCTTGTGGGGAGATATATAAGTGTGCATAAGTGAAATCATCATCTGTATGTGTTTATACTACTAGAAACAATTCCCTGGCCCAAAAGTGAAGTAAGACTTCAAAAGTCAAATGAAAGAAAACCAAATCCATGTGGAAGTCTTTAAAGATTTAACAGTTTTGATCTCTTTGCTCACCTCTGTTTCTGAGGAACATTCTTCTCTAAACTACTTGACCGAACAGGTGCAAAGGCTACCAGACTTTTTCCAGATGCCTGGCTCATAAATCTGGTGATTTCTAGAGTCAGGAATGAAACAAGATTGGCAAACCTATCATAAGAGTTGTTTATTAAAATTCAATTTAAAAGAGTACTCAACAACAGTAGAATATTTGTAAAAAGAACTCATCTTAGAATAAGTGTAGTATAAAAACTACCTTGGCGAACAAGTATTATGTTTAATATATATCTGTTTTGCTGCATGTTGAAATGGATTGTTCTGTTAGTGCGTGTGAGCGTGCATGCATGTGGGTGTGTGTGTGTGTTTGTGTGGAATATAACTACTCTAGTTAGTGTGTTATACCAGCACTGTACTTAACTGATGGTCATATATAAATATAATTCACTATGCACAATCATGCAGGTCAGGACAGTATTTGTATCTTGTCATATCATAACACCCGTGCATTGTTCAAATCCTGTGTACACATGTTAGCTATTCTTTAGAATTCTGTCTGGCAAAGGAATGTACCACAGGCTGGAGAAGTTACAAATTTAAACATAAATAAAAAGAATAGTAAGAAAAAAATTTATATGTACATACCCTCCTAATTTTATTGTTCATAAAACCACTGGTTTCAAAAAATTTTCTACTTTCATACTTGGGTCTAAAAACGTTAGTGGCATATATACCATAATATTCTGTGTCATGAAGTGATGAAGTTAAATGGGTCCAATGGTAATAATCATGTATACTAAATGAAGTACAGGGTGATCAAAACTGCACATTTCCCTACAGATGTAATGCTTTTATTGTTAAATATTTTATTTTTTTAATATTTCACATAAAAGAAATTGAATATCTATATATTTGTTTGTAGAAATACTTCACTCCAGGTAGGTTCTTGTTGCTCATATTCTTTGCCTTACAAAACCACCTGTGTGCATTGTCAGTTTGTGTAAGATCAGTGCTAACAAGGAACATGTATTGCTGATAGAGAATTTAGGGATAATGGTATAGATGGTGAGTAGCTCAAGGTTATATGCTCAAGAGCTGCCTAATTTAAATACTTAATAATTGTTCTCAAAGGAAAATAGGTCCATATTAAGGGGTTGTGTGTGTTCTTGATCATTCTGTTAGAATTAATTATGTGTATTGAATGTACTGTAATATTTATTATGTTAATTTATGAAGCAGCCATAATTAAACTATAAAGAGCGGCATATTTGCTACTTATGAACAAAACTTACATTTTGATGCATCAAAATTTTCTATGGGTGTTCACTCCCTTTTCTGTAGGGCAGTGGATATAACCTTCACCCTGATATCATACCTGTACAGAAATGCACATCACATGGCTCACCACTAGGTAGAGCTAGCAGTTGTTAGGTTAGGGGACATAAGTACAGGCATATTGTACAAATCCCAGAGACCATTATCAGGTTTAAATCCAACATAATGAGGATATTTATTTATCTGAAACCAGTTTGTTAACAATGACTGAAATATTGGTAGTGTATTTAAAGCATAAAGGCATCAAGGAGTTGTCTTGAAAACATCTAAGTTGACCAGTTCAGTTGATAGTTGTCAGGTGTCAGTAGTTAGTTAAGGTTTGGCAGTTCAGTTGAGCTCTGCAAGGGAGGCTGAGAAGAGATGGCACTATAAGTTGGTTGAAAGTTTGAAGTCTGGCTGTAAAGGAAAGAGTTAGTTGTAAGAATACAGCTGTGAAAAGAAGACTTCATGTGTGCTGTTGTTACTCTGAGTGTGTTATAATTACTGTGTTAAAATCCGTTGCCAGAATATGACTAGTGAAGCCTGAGAAGACTCAGTGTGTGCTAGTGGTTTATGAAGTGTGAAGATCAGCGATAGCACTGTGATTAATTGTAGTTCTGAGTGGTGTGTACAAGTGGTCAATAAATTTAATTCAGCAGTCCAAACCCCGTCTATTGTAACACTCCTAAATACATGACAGTATTATTCAATATAAGGTATCTTTGTCATGTAAGGTCATGTTAAGTTTTACTGATATTTATGTGGCTTTGTGTTGGGAGGAACATTTCAAAATATTTACTGTTGTTGCTCTCAGTTATA